ATACATTATACATCTATTGAGATAGTGATACATACCTTCTAAATATTATACATCCATTGAGATAGTGATACATACCTTCTAAATATTATACATCTATTGAGATAGTGATACATATCTTCTAGACATTATACATCTATTGAGATAGTGATACATACCTTCTAAATATTATACATCTATTGAGATAGAGATACATACCTTCTAGACATTATACATCTATTGAGATAGTGATACATACCTACTAAATATTATACATCTATTGAGATAGTGATACATATCTTCTAGACATTATACATCTATTGAGATAGTGATACATACCTTCTAAATATTATACATCTATTGAGATAGAGATACATACCTTCTAAATATTATACATCTATTGAGATAGAGATACATACCTTCTAGACATTATACATCTATTGAGATAGAGATACATACCTTCTAAACATTATACATCTATTGAGATAGAGATACATACTTTCTGGACATTATACATCTATTGAGATAGAGATACGTACCTTCTAGACATTATACATCTATTGAGATAGAGATACATACCTTCTAAACATTATACATTTATTGAGATAGTGATACATACCTTCTAAACATTATACATCTATTGAGATAGTGATACATACTTTCTGGACATTATACATCTATTGAAATAGAGATACATACCTTCTAAACATTATACATCTATTGAGATAGTGATACATACTTTCTGGACATTATACATCTATTGAGATAGTGATACATGCCTTCTATACATTATACATCTATTGAGATAGTGATACATACTTTCTGGACATTATACATCTATTGAGATAGAGATACATACCTTCTAAACATTATACATCTATTGAGATAGAGATACATACCTTCTAGACATTATACATCTATTGAGATAGAGATACATAAGTTCTGGACATTATACATCTATTGAGATAGTGATACATACTTTCTGGACATTATACATCTATTGAAATAGAGATACATACCTTCTAAACATTATACATCTATTGAGATAGAGATACATACCTTCTAGACATTATACATCTATTGAAATAGAGATACATACCTTCTGGACATTATACATCTATTGAAATAGAGATACATACCTTCTAGACATTATACATATATTGAAATAGAGATACATACCTTCTAGACATTATACATATATTGAAATAGAGATACATATCTTCTAGACATTATACATCTATTGAAATAGAGATACATATCTTCTAGACATTATACATCTATTGAAATAGAGATACATACCTTCTAGACATTATACATCTATTGAAATAGAGATACATACCTTCTAGACATTATACATCTATTGAAATAGAGATACATACCTTCTAGACATTATACATCTATTGAAATAGAGATACATACCTTCTAAACATTATACATCTATTGAGATAGTGATACATACCTTCTAAACATTATACATCTATTGAGATAGTGATACATACCTTCTAGACATTATACATCTATTGAGATAGAGATACATAACTTCTAGACATTATACATCTATTGAGATAGTGATACATACCTTCTAGACATTATACATCTATTGAGATAGAGATACATACCTTCTAGACATTATACATCTATTGAGATAGAGATACATACCTTTTGGACATAATGTTCCTTGTAAGGTAGAAAGAATGTCATTACTCAGACATTTTTAAGTGAGGGTTGATAATTTGTATATCTATAACTACTGGAACCTTGGAGCAAAGCGATAAGCACAAATATCAACACCATCGACGTATAAACTTTGAGAGAACTCATTTTTTCAGATTTTTTTAATTGAAGTGACACAAGATTGCCATTTAACAGTGTTATTGAGTTCTGCACCTGCATAACAGACATAAAAATAAGTCTTTCCCATTTTTCCATAAAAATGTCGACCATAAATTTTCAAAGTAAAGGGCAATTAGTGTAAACATTTTATTCTGAGGTCTATGACTGTTTAGTTTTTTATTCTCAGAATTGAAAAATGGTTAAAGAGGTTTTCTAAATTTTGTTTGTGTATCAAGGACACTGATAGTATCAATTTGCATCAATCCAATTTTCAATCAGATGTCTGTGTTTCCTGCAATTGCAAACTAGATGAACTCACTATTCGCGAAGGGACTTGCGTGATGCAAGCATACTTGGCGTTTAGTGACGTTATCGAAGACTTCTTTCTTTATAGAATTGCAGGAACCACAGACTTACGAATGAAAATTGGAATGGTGAAAGTTGATGCTATCGGTGTTCCCGATGCACATCAAAAATTTAAAAAAAAATCTTTACAATTCCTTTAAGCGTTTTCCAATAATTATGTTGTTTTAAGGATGGTTATTTAGTTTAATGGATTAATCGGATTATAGAGGGATTCAATTGTATAGTACTTGGTAGGTCCAAAGATGAATATATCCTATTATTGGACATGTTAGAAAATGTGTATGCTAAGAGGTAATATTCCTTTAAAGTGAATTTGAATATAAGCTTTAAAACAGTACGGTCATAATGATAGTCTGAGAATAACTTTGTAAATAGCTATACAGCTAACACTGAATAGAGAAATTTTAACTTATATAAATGTTAAAAGTGTTAAAATTTTGACTGGAAATTGTCCTCTGTAAAAGAAAATTTCAGTTATACTGCGCTAACGTTTATGTTTCCATTTACGCATATTCATTTGATACACGTGAAAATATTCTAAAATATACATTGCAGAAAATTGAAAATGGGACTAATTTCGATTGGGACAAAGAACCTGGTGATGTTTTATTGTTTAAGAGATTGTAAAAAGGATTTCTAAAAATTGTGTATCGGGGACACTGATAGCATCAATTTGCATCATTCTAATATTCAATCAGATGTCAGTGGTTGCTGCAAAACCATTAAGTGGAAAGTGTTTTATGACGTCACTAATCGAGAAGGGCCTTATGTGATACAAGCATACTTGGTGAGTGCGTGGATCCCACCCTCTGTCCACCAAATTCAGAGAGCAATATTGCTTATATTAAATATATTCCGATTTTTTTAAAAAGTTTTGATAGGGTTCATCTTTGGGTGATCTTTGGTTATAACCAATTTCGCCAAGTTTCATCTAGAATTGTGCCTTTACGATATTTTTTTAAAAGAATTATGCGATTTTCGTACATTCTTAGTACTTCTATACTGTATACATATATTCAAGACTCAAAATCAACCCCCGAAAAATGTGAATCTATCCTTTTAATCAGTCCTGCTGACCGAGATTAATTTTTCCTACACGGAAAGCACCATCGTAATGTTATATATGAATTTTATATTCAGGACCGCTAGAGGCAACTGTCTTCTCCAAATAAAATCAAAACGTAAAACGTTTAAGTTTTTTATTTTGTAATTTTTAATAAATTGAAATAAAGATGTTTTTTTTATGATTAGTATCAATATTATAGTCAGTTAAAAGCTAGCGTCTGACATCTGGATTTTCTTTACACCTGCAACATTACAGAGAACTGGTACAGATTACAGATTCCTGTTGCACTTCGCATAACGATGTAACAAAAGACTTTAATGACAAATCTGGGTTTTTTCATTTCTAAATTTTACTGTTGTACATTTTGGGGAATTTTCAACATTTTCTGTTCTGATACGACACAATGGAATATGATCTTTGACCATATACATTAGTAAGGGAATGAAAACTTTACACCAAAATCTACAAAACAGTGTCCCTTAAAGTGATACTACGTAGAATTAACATAAAATTTAAGAATATTAATCGTGGCGAATAAGAACCAGTACCAATACCTGGTGTCATAAATAACATAACAGGATCCTTATATAATCCGATAAATCCAAAATACTTAGTAATTATCCATGAATATACAATTAACTATTGAAAAATGCTTAATATCAAGATTTAGCGTTTTTCAATAATTACTTATTTTATGAATTTTTCAATTTTCCAGATTTTACAGGGATTCTGTTGTAACTTTATGACACCAGGTAAGTTCACTGATGAATATATACTCATATTGACATTTCCAGAACTTAAATTTTATGTTCATTCTAAGACGTAATATCACTTTAATCACGTATCTAAAAGTTAAAATAAAGAAAAAATCCAGGGGTTGAGTTTTTAGCGCAAAAAAATATTTGAAAAGTTTACGTAGTGTCCTTTAGAAGCTGTTAAAAAACTATTGTACGAAATAAAATATACGTCTAATTGCAGAGAAATATGTCTCTTACTTATTCTGAAGGTTTTAACTAATATTGAGTCAAACACCAAAACTAGGTCAAACTGCTTAATTAACAATTAGTAATATCCGTTTTTAATAAACCCTTTTAAAGAAAATTAAAGAAGGTACATAGATGAAAAGCTTCTTTGAAAATATTTTTAGGTATAATTTACTAAGTTTTTGATACCGAAAATTTGGTATTCTTCCCCTTTAAACATCGCAAGATTGTTTATGTGAGGACGTTTCTTTGGTTAAGACTTTGACACTGCTATTAGAATATAGATCATGCACTTAAAAAAAACTTCACAGCTGTGATTTTTATTTAAAGACTTGTATTACATTAATAATTTTTTTTATAATATTTTTATATATCGAGTTCAGAGTCCAATTTGTTTTAAAGGCGAAAACAAATAATAATCCTGATAACCTTTGTACTACTATGGAAACCCAGTGACATTCCGTTAGTTACTTGTACCAGTATTTTACAGCCCGTAGCCAGACTTGATTTTTCGGAGGGGCGATGTTTACGATCACCTTACTCTGGCAAGCAGGTCAACATCATACCATATCTACGACAAGCCGGGTGGAGACCATATTCCACTCGATGACAAGCCGGATACAAATCATATCCCGCTCTATTACAAGCAGGATACAAATCATATCCCACTCTATCACAAGCAGGATACAAATCATATCCCACTCTATTACAAGCAGGATACAAATCATATCCCACTCTATTACAAGCCGGATACAAATCATATCCCGCTCTATTACATGCAGGATACAAATCATATCCCACTCTATGACAAGCAGGATACAAATCATATCCCACTCTATTACAAGCAGGATACAAATCATATCCCACTCTATTACAAGCAGGATACAAATCATATCCCGCTCTATTACAAGCAGGATACAAATCATATCCCACTCTATTACAAGCAGGATACAAATCATATCCCACTCTATGGCAAGCAGGATACAAATCATATCCCACTCTATTACAAGCAGGATAAAAATCATATCCCACTCTATTACAAGCAGGATACAAATCATATCCCACTCTATTACAAGCAGGATACAAATCATATCCCACTCTATTACAAGCAGGATACAAATCATATCCCACTCTATGACAAGCAGGATACAAATCATATCCCACTCTATTACAAGCAGGATACAAATCATATCCCACTCTATTACAAGCAGGATACAAATCATATCCCACTCTATTACAAGCAGGATACAAATCATATCCCACTCTATTACAAGCAGGATACAAATCATATCCCACTCTATGACAAGCAGGATACAAATCATATCCCACTCTATTACAAGCAGGATACAAATCATATCCCACTCTATGACAAGCAGGATACAAATCATATCCCACTCTATTACAAGCAGGATACAAATCATATCCCACTCTATTACAAGCAGGATACAAATCATATCCCACTCTATTACAAGCAGGATACAAATCATATCCCACTCTATTACAAGCAGGATACAAATCATATCCCACTCTATGACAAGCAAGATACAAATCATATCCCACTCTATGACAAGCCACACATGCCGCCCGATGAAGATCATATCCTTCTGTTGGACAAAACGGGTAAAAAACGTAACCCACTTAATGACGAATGAAGATAATATTCTTGTCCATTACGCGACGGGTGATAATCATATTAAATTATTATTATAAGGGCCAGAAATTTGCTTATATCGTCCAAAATAGGCTATGCAAGCTACCTACCTATTTGAACTTTACTGCTGTGACATTACTATAAATCTTTGAATGGAAGGGCCGAGTGGCCCCCCCACCCACCCCTTTCATACATACACACCCCCGTTCAAACGCCACTGATGTATTGGTCATAAGATCTAAAAATACAAACCGAGTGAACATTATATCTAAAAATACAAACCGAGTGAACATTATATCATAATCTGGGAGACTGGGAGAAGATAATATATTGAAAGCAGAAGCATGACATTAAAGGATCCAACTGTGACTTTAAAACGATGATTTATTTTAATCCTGACCTAAATTCTTATCAAGATAATATTGTCAAGAACAAATAGAAAAACGTTTTCTTGATAACCAACAGTGTAGTTTGACATTCAGACATTGAACAGGTAACTATACATTTTATATTCAAGTCGCAAATAGATTGTATTTACCAATTTCTTTACAATGATAAATTGGTATTCGATGAAAATGTTCACATCAGGATCAGCTTCAGTAAAAAGAAGCATGTATGACTCAATGAAATTCGCAACCTTATTGTAGTATACTGGCGGTGTAAATCCGGTAGTAAATGTTGAGGACAAATGTTTTTTGAGAGCCCGGTATCCCAGAATTTTTTCTAATGAAAAAGAGTGGAAATTTCAGGATGTTTTTCTCACGTTAAATCTTATTTCTTCTTGTGCAGCAATTGGCCACGTAGGACCCGAATCCAAACTTGCTTAACTGAAAGTACACGAGCAAAATTTTTCTTGTTGGAAGGTTGGTTAAGGGGACTAAACCCCACCAAAGGCAAGGAAATTCTGACTTTGAAATGGTACATTCTGAAGTACATGTATATCTGAATAAACAAATGTTATATTTTTGGGCAGCGACGGACAAACCTAGGGCAGACAAGAAGGTGGTGTTTTGGGGTGGTGCTCTAAAAATAATTATATTTTGAAAGAAAACCCATCGAAAATATCGGGCAACCATCCAAAAACAAAGTAAAAAAGTAACAAAGAAAATAAATAATATATGCTTCGCCCGACATCTCAACCCTTCAAAGGTTTAGGACGGACCAACCCTTAATCATTTTTACCAGAGAGGAGTCGAGGGAATCGATCCCCATAGAGCGGACACCCATGGTGATGAGGTCTTAATTGGAGTGGAGTTTCCCTTATTGTTTTTAAGATTTTAAGAATCATAATATAAAAGAGCTACTATACCTGTTTCTTTTTTCTTTTCTTTTTTATTTCAGATAAAATGAAAGTTATCGTTGTATTAGTTTGGTTTGTATTATTATTTTTCTTTGCTCTATCATATAAAGATGACCTGACATTGGCAAGCAAGATAACATAAGCTCACACTGCAGTGATGAATTAGAAATTTGTCACAGCGAAAACATAAAAAAAAGTTCAATCCACCGTTTAAAATAATGTTATATCTATGATATGATGTCAATCCAGAGCGCATCTATAAAATGCCTTACAGGCGGCAAAAATGAGAGACGAGGCCCGAAAGGCTAAACTAGTTTGAAGCTTGGTGTCTGGGAGCTGCCAGAGTCCCCCAGAGAAGCCAACAGATTTCAGGTGGCCTGGGATGAATTTAGAGGGCTTAATATTCGCTCCAAAAAAATGTCCAAAAAAAAAACGCCACTATAATGTTCACTACAGCTTGTTGCCATTGGTCTGGTGTAATTCTGAACCACTGAAAGCGGCTCAGTTATTTGATAAAGTGGATATAGATAAGAATGATCTTTTAGATAGGAAAGAACTCGATTCTATCTTCTTGTTATTTGACGTAGATGGTGAGTACCCATATTATTTCTCACTAATGACAGCCGTATTATAGAAAAATAACCCCGTGCCAAAACAAGTTTCGGTCGTAAAATGGCTATGAACACATATTTCTCGCCCATTTGTCAGTTTTAAAAGTCGTGTTAACAAAATCAAACAAGATACTGTCAATACGACGTTTCAAAAAGATTAACTGCATTGTACTGTCAATACGACGTCGTACAAAACCAAGATCAAACGCGCTGTTATTGCCAATACGACGTCGTACAAAACAAAGATCAAACGCGTTGTTGTTGCCAATGCGACGTCGTACAAAGTCAAGATCAAACGCGCTGTAATGTCCATAGGCGTCTCACCGAGATCAAACGCGTTGTAATACTGTAAATACGAAGTTGTACCAAAATCAAACGCGTTGTACTGTCAATACGACGTTTCACCAAAATCAAACACATTGTACTTCCAATCGATATTTCACCAAAATCAAACACATTGTACTGTCTCACCAGGATCAAACGCGTTGTACGGTCTCGCTAATATCAAACACACTGAACTGTCAGTACGATATCTCAGCAAAATCAACTGCGTTTTGCTGACAATACGTCTCGCCAAGATCAAACTACCGCCCTCGTTCTTGACTAGAAATTTTACTACGTTAACATTTTCCATGTATAATATAACTTCCTCACATTATGTTTGAAAAGGATAGCAGAAAGGGTCAATTGACAACGATGGTGTAGGGGGAAGGAGAAATTATTACACATGTCACACTTTATGATTTTTTTTTCTAACCCTGTCCCTGGATATTGTACAACCAACAAGGTTTCATGTGATTTTCGCACCTGCCACTTAAAACCTAAAACAGAATGGAGTAAAAAATTGCCAACGCAAACTTAATATTGGCCATGTGTATAAACCATCAAGATTAAAGTTAACAATTTCGGTCAAATTTCGTGTGTTTTTTTTTCAGGGGATAAACAAGTGTCTAAAGCTGAATTCCAGAATGATTGGGTGAATAAATTCTCCCTGGGTAATATTAAAGAAGCTGATGCCTTATTTGCACGAGCAGATCAAACCCATGATGGAGTTATTGCCGCCAATGATATAGATGCCATCTTCACTTTCTTTGATGTTAACGGTATGTATCTTTGAAACCAGTCAATAGTGTGGGCTTCAGTCACGATTCTAACGATATGTCAGGCTGGAGCAATACCAATCAAAATACCAAGCTTAGATCCCATGCTTAAAGTGATACTACGTCATAGAAAGTCATAGTTAATTGTATTTTTATTAAGTTTTTTGGATTTATCGGATTATATAAGGATCCTGTTATGTTATTTATGACACCAGGTATATCTACTGATGAATATATGCTCTTTTTGGCCAAGTTTAAAACTTTTAAATTTATGTTTATTCTAAGACGTAGTATCCCATCCGTTTGACCAATCATACTTTAGTCTCAGAAGCAGTCATTTATTAGCTAAGCCAATCAGTAATATTGTTAACAGTTAATTGTCCAAATTTGAACTTTCAAATCCATGTGTATCTAGAATTTGCATTTGTCATTTGTAATAACTTGACATTGTGAAGATGGTCCTTCTGAAGAAGAAATTATTTAAGATCAAACTTAACCCACGAAAATGACCTTTAAATTAGCCAGTTATATATTAACAAAGGTTTGTTTATCTAAACAAAAATACGTATACGATCAAGGGTAAGAATAGAAATTCCGATTTCCATTCCATTTAACAACACTAATCTATATTTCAGGAAACAGCAATGTCGATCTGAATGAATTTTTAACTCAATGGGGTCAAGTAACATTAATCCCAGTAAACCCAATCGACACCCATGTTGGTTGAAGCAGACGTTTGCAACATGAATTGATGATCTGATAGATCTTAAAAAAATAAAAAAAAAAATATAATTTTAAAGTTTTTTTTATCTACCTAGTTACCGTCCGTCTACATTTACTTAATGATGGGTTTCCTTATTTTTCAGTGTCAAATTAAGCAAACTATTTGATTAATTTGTGTTTCTAATGAATAATCACGAGTTCTTTTAGCAAATAATTAAGAGCTTTAACCAATCATAAATGTTCATGTGTGTACAGTCTGGATAAACAAAAAAAAGACATTTTGACTTTTCTTGATCGGTCACTCCTTCGAATTCTGCTGGTAATTCTCTTCTAATTTAGTTAATAATTAATTAATGGACATGTGAGACAAACTGGTATTTTTTTTTTACTTCTACTTTCTATTCAAATAAGTATTGGCATTTTCATTTTCATAAACACATTCGATTTCTTCTTATAGGCACCTGATATCACACCTTGTTTTAGCAGTTCAAAAGTAATTGTTCGTGCATGGTCTTATTACTATTCCTAAAATAAGGGAGGTACACAGGGGGTGGGATGAGGGTTGTCTGAATGTGTAACATTTTAACGAGGCCAAAATTGGTGTGCAGTAATGTCGAAAGAAAAGAGTATTAGGGTTGGGGTCGACTCAGATTCTAGATTTTCATTTTTGGTCCGTCAAATATAAAATATACAAGATAGCTAGATAAACATACACCCACACAGCAAATTTTTTCCTTTTTTGAAATTCAATAATTGAATAAGTTCATTGCAATAAATCAGAAACGTTTCCACGTCGATGTATAAAAATTAAATCTTAAACAACAGTATCTTTTCAAACAAAAACATGAAAGAGGTTTTGAATTAAATAAAATGACTGATACATTAAGCAAACTCTTTAGTAACTCTTACAAATATACACAAAATTTGTCTTTAAATTTGTGTTCAATTTACATTGATTTATGGTGTAGCCCAAGGTTTGTCAAGTAAATAAACCACTTTCATTGTTTGTACAAAAGCGAAACGGACCTTAGCGGAGCCCTTGCACGCACACTCCCTACTAAAAGGTTACTTAGAACAATAATGTGTTGTATTTTTTGTTGTTGTTGTATATATATTGAATCTGTTACTAATCTTACATAGGACAGACATCAGTAAGGAAAATGGATCGTTCCCGCGCTTCCAGACCGTATTAATAAATGTGATGCCACATGCTCGTTGCTATGCTCATGCTCATACGATGTTGACCGTGAAAAGTAGGCTACTTGTTGTAGTTGGTACGCGCTGAATCAAGAAGTCGCAATTCTTTATTTCCTCCACTCTCCGTACACGAGTACTAATGTGGCGAAAAATCTTTTTTTGCATTCCATCGAGCGCCATTTTGCATGCGCTCATAGCGCGCCGCCAGTTGATAATCCCAGTTTCCCTTCAGATTTCAGGTTTAAATCACTACATAAAACTGATACTTAATGGGTTGTAAAAGGATTTTTAATTTTATTTTATGTGAATCGGGAACAATTTGCATCATTCCAATTTTCAATCAGACATCCTTATGTGATAAAGCATATTTTCTGTTGAATTGCAGGAACTACGGACATACTCTTTTGTACAAGTATCTCCTGGGGTAGGGGCCTAGCAGTAACACCATGGGGACATTTGGCCCAACCTTCACCGATGTTCATTAGTTTCAGACAGTAAAACATTGACTCGGCCATTAAAGGCTGACTTATTGACATGTAAGGGCAGGCAACTTTGTCTGAAGATTGATTTGGATTGGCTAGATTAGCGTAGTGATTTGGACGTGGTCAAAGAAAATTCGCAAGACAAAATAGTTTTCTTTTCAATTTTTTTTTCTCAAATAACAATATTCTATGAAAAATCATTGGTTGTTTAATTACGGTATATATAAAAGTATTCAGTAACCAATTAATAAATATAGATCACAAACTAGATGACATACTTTGTTATTGTAGCTCTGACATATTTCATTTACTAAAAATAGACATTGCGTCATATGAACGGAAATAGGCCCAGATGGAACTATTTTTTCCAACATGGCGATCTCCGATTAACATACGAGGCTAAAAAGTAGCATTCCAGTCCAGTAGCCAATTCCCTTTGAATAACTTCTGACAACAGACCAATTCCACTACTGCAACCAAACACCGTACCCCCTCCAGCTATGTCACTTGCCTCTCCGAAATTTAAGTCTGTCAACGTCTCTGCAGCATTCTAGTACCAAGTTGATAAGAGTGATCATGGGTCGTACCAGAGGGGATTGATAATATCGGCAGTCTTTTTAATACCTGACTACCGAAGTTACTGTGCAAACAATACCCAACTTTTGTTCAGTGTCATATTCCTATCATTAGTTACTCATGGTAATAGTGTCACAATCTTCTAGCTAATTGGACTGTCACTGTAATTTGGACACAATATTTCTATTTCGTATGCTCTGGTACTTCAAATGTTGAGAGATTCATTCATTTTAACTCAACTTTACAGATGAGAGAGTGGGTTCTGCTCTTAAATCTCATGAATCTCATGAATGGTCCTATCTAGAAATGAATACTTTGCAATTTGAGAAAGTTCAGGATCATTACTGGTCAGATAAAATGAATTCAAGGGTCAAACGAAATACCAGTTGTAACTTGATCCACAATACCATTTGCAGCTGAAGATGCAGCTGTTATCTACTCCTTCAGGCCCTTGTCAGAACATGTTTCATATAATTGCATCTTCCTATCACCCAAATGAATGTCTTTCAAGATCTTACTATGACTGCTTTATTTCTTCTTTCCACCACTCTGTAATCTATGATATTTCTGTACCAGTTTGTTTATCTGATGTCTTCCGTAATGCATATACCACCTGAAAAAACAAGTTGGAAGTTAGTCAAATCACTCTGGACTTCAAAATGTGTTCCTTTGCTAGCACTCGAAGGCCAAAATAACAATGTCTGTTTCAAAAAATATAAAGATTGGAAAGAGTTTTTGTAATTGTTGTAAATTGGATAAGAAGGCTCAAATTTCAACATTAAAGGGAATGGTTGGCCATTTTGGGTGGTTGATTTTAGTCTTGAATTTCTTCTTCTATTTCTATATATATCTTTATATGGCAGTGTCTCACGAAAAGATAAGTCATCTTTCTAACTTTCAAACATGGATAATTCTTAACACATAGATTTGAAGGCTCAAATTTCGATGATGAGATGTGAACACTATTACTGATTGGCTTAGCTAAAAAATTCCCATTTCTGAAACTAAGCTATGATTGTTCAAACGAATGGTGAACACTTTAAGCTGTGAACACTATTACTGATTGGCATAGGTACTAGGGTACAATTAATCAAATGACTGTTTAGATAGTGAACATGCCCCTCTAATACTTACAAACCAAACAATACTCCTCCTAAATGTCCTGCATGATCTAACATATTCCATCGGAAAATAATACCACATACATCTAACAGAATTATTCCTTTTAAACCCTACAAGATAAAGAATTATAGGTGCTGTGAACAAATTAAGCAAAAAGTGAATTATAAGGGACGAAGATTTTGGGCAATGGAGTTGCTCAGCCAATTAGACGCTTATTGATTTAGGTATCTTCACAACTTGAGATCTTGTACATGATCACAGCAACATTATCCGTCCATCTTTTACACATGTACGTATATATTCTAACAATTTGTGCATCGATAAAAGTCTTTAACACTTAAATACAAAGGAATTTGATTTTTTGCGGAATATACATTGTATCTATGATAAAAAGGTCCCATGTTGCTTTGATGTAATGGAGAATTAATAGAGTATATCATAATAATTAAGGACCACGGCTCCACACCAGCAAGGTCAAGCCAGATTTTCAAGGAAACTTTTCAAAAGGCTCTTGGATACTATTTGCAGCTTTTGCCATCATTTTGCCTAAGTATTTCTAACCTGGACAAGAAGAAAGGCCAGGATAATCATAGCTTCCTGAAAGAGTAACCATAAATATCTATAGAGTACTTACAGTTTCAGCTGTGAAATAAAAACCAGTCAAATCACTAATTATAGGAAATCCCAGAGTTGCCTTAGGGAAGGCATAACAAACACAGGCAATACAGGTTAATATAGCACCAGACTGAAGTAGAAAAAAAGATAGCTTGCCAGGTGAAGTAACGTTCACCCACGAGAGCAGATAATATATCAATAGCTGTAGATTTCATCAATCTTACGACCTTATTCGTAAAAATTAAATCATTAATTTAAATAAGCCAAGGGAAAACACTCAAAAAACAGTTCATTGCAAATTTGATCCCCCTTCCCCCCACCTCCCTTTTATAAAAATCAACAATAAAACCTAAGCATGTTTTGTCCAGATAAGATAAAAGCTGTACTTTCAATCTCATTCACAAGCAAATGAGGACTGACCAAAGAACAGATGCGATGATAACAATATAATAAGAGTGATACAAAAAGAATTTTGACTTACAGCTCCTACTGAGGGTATAGCTGAAAATCGAACTGCCTTTAACATTAAACTTGTCAATGATGAAACTATAGCTATAAAATATAACACATTCTGTACATTTCAATTCTATTTTTTCCATTGAAATTCACTCACTGTTTCTGTCCAAGAGCTTTCTTTATGTTTTAATATCAGCAATTAATAAAGATTATATTTACACATCCTTTTTAGTCACTCTCATCAAAGGTATCTGCACCATCTTTTGTGACCAAATTGTACCTTTGTTTCAGAAACGGGATTTTTTTTTAGGCTAAACTAATCAATAAAAGTGTTCACAGCTCATAATCGAAATTGGGGTCTTCAAATCTATGCGTGTCCAGAATTATCTGCGTTTGAGAATAAAAAAAATAAGTTGTCTTTTCTTGAGACATTGCCATATATAGAAAAGACATTTATAGAAATAGGAAAAGAAATTCCAAGTTTGAGGTATTTTTGAAGGAATAATACTCACCACCATTGATGTATAACCATGAAAAAACTTCCGTCTGTCTTACAGTGTTAAATAGAGGACCAGAGAACGTCCAGAAAACATACATATTCATTAATAAATGAATACCATTACTATGACTAAATGATGATAGTAACATAGATATCACAGGCTGACCTAAAACATATATAATCATATTACTATCATATACTTTTATATAACTATCATATTACTGTCATATTACTATCATATTACTGTCATATTTCTATCATATTACTATAACATACTGTCATATACTATCATATTACTGTCATATTACTATAACATACTGTCATATACTATCATATTACTGTCATATTACTATCATATTACTATAACATACTGTCATATACTATCATATTACTGTCATATTACTATAACATACTGTCATATTACTATCATATTACTATCATATTACTATAACATACTGTCATATACTATCATATTACTGTCATATTACTATAACATACTGTCATATTACTATCATATTACTATCATATTACTATAACATACTGTCATATTACTGTCATATTACTATAACATACTGTCATATTACTATCATATTACTGTCATATTACTATCATATTACTATAACATACTGTCATATACTATCATATTACTTTCATATTACTATAACATACTGTCATATTACTTTCATATTACTATAACATACTGTCATATACTTTCATATTACTATCATATACTTTTATATAACAATCATATTACTTTCATATTTCTATCATATTACTATAACATACTGTCATATACTATCATATTACTATCATATTACTGTCATATACTATCATATACTATCATATTACTATAACATACTGTCATATACTTTCATATTACTATCATATACTTTTATATAACAATCATATTACTTTCATATTTCTATCATATTACTATAACATACTGTCATATACTATCATATTACTGTCATATACTATCATATACTATCATATTACTATGACATACTGTCATATACTATCATATTACTATAACATACTGTCATATTACTATCATATTAATATCATATTACTATAACATACTGTCATATACTATCATATTACTGTCATATTACTATAACATACTGTCATATTACTATCATATTACTATAACATACTGTCATATTACTGTCATATTACTATAACATACTGTCATATTACTATCATATTACTATAACATACTGTCATATTACTATCATATTACTGTCATATTACTATCATATTACTATCATATTACTTTCATATTACTATAACATACTTTCATATTACTATCATATACTTTTATATAACAATCATATTACTTTCATATTACTATCATATTACTGTCATATTACTATAACATACTGTTATATACTATCATATTACTATCATATTATTTTCATATTACTATAACTTACTGTCATATACTATCATATACTTTCATATTACTATAACATACTGTCATATACTATCATATTACTGTCATATTACTATCATATTACTATAACTTACTGTCATATACTATCATATACTTTCATATTACTATCATATTACTGTCATATTACTGTCATATACTATCATATTACTTTCATATTACTATAACATTCTGTCATATACTATCATATTACTTTCATATTACTATAACATACTGTCATATACTATCATATTACTATAACATACTGTCATATACTATCATATACTTTCATTACTATCATATACTTTTATATAACAATCATATTACTTTCATATTACTATCATATTACTGTCATATTACTGTAACATAATGTCATATACTATCATAATACTGTCATATTACTATAACATACTGTCATATTACTATCATATTACTGTCATATTACTTTCATATTACTATAACATTCTGTCATATACTTTCATATTACTATCATTTTACTTCCATTTTCAAATCGGACTTTCCAAAAATTTAAGAAGACAATTATAATGTAATACTCGGACTGAACTTATATCTTTCAGTCTTACTTTTGCAGAATCAGCTCCTGGAACTGTTTCAATCAACTCTTCAAATGCAAATTAAAATGTGCATCTTTCACTCAAGTTTCTCCTCAACCAATCCAATGAAGTCTTTGAATGGCATTTAGCAATTGTGAGTACGATATATAGACACAGGAAAAACTTTTACCAGATTTTATTGTTCCATAAAGCTGTGTCTATATAACCAATCCAATGGTTGAAAGATCAGGTTGTTATTTCAGTCGCTATCAAGAAGGTATCACTTACCATTGGCACAAGTAAAATATTTGGACATAAAGGAATGAAGTTGTGGTACTCTCCATAATATAAGCACAGCGCAATTCATACCAATAATTCCTATTACTACTCTCAGGAACTGTAAATATTCTTCCTGAAATACAAAATTAAAACAGTTATTAATCAAATTATTCTTTTCTTGAGGCTCAGCCATATACATAAAAAGAAAGGCATCAGAAATAGAGAATGAAATTTCTAGTTGTTTGAGGTATATTTGAAGGGATTTTACAATTTCCATGTAGTTCTAGTACTTCTGAAGACTATTTAACTAATATATTCAAGATCAAAATCAACCTTCCAAAAAGTTGAATCATAGCCTTTAAATGGAGAGTATGTGCAAAATTGGCAAAATCCATTCTCCCACTGATAAACTTTTTTTTGATAATATTGTGTAGTAAGTTTTTTTTTATTATTACTGTGAGTGAGGCTCTAGTTATTTATTTAATGTCAAAGTACCCATCACGTATCTTTCATCTTATATCAATATAGTAGTAACCTTTCTCACCAAATTTCCTTTCAGCATATACCTTATAAACCTCTAGTGATGTCATCCCACTGTTATGGCAGGATTTTATCTCAAATTCATTTCATTTAAAAATCAGGGTAGTTTGACTCCAGACTCCAGACTCCAGCCTATAGTCTCAATGGTTGCCGGCTGAATTGACCATGTTTATAGATACAAGTTGCACCCCTTTGCCCGAAACATCTTTTCCCCAGAATGATTTGGATCTATAAACAACAGAGATTCCTTGGTTAACTCTAGTTGACACTATCAGGTGCAAGTGTAACAGCGATGTGTTTTGTCATTTTGTATTAGTATTGGGGATAATAGGCCTAGCCCGTGGTCTACATCATTTCTAACTTTCTATGACCCTACATGGCAACTATTAAGTAAGTGGCGATACATATCGCGATACAATGGCCAGGATACAATAAGTAAATTGTGATACACTTTTTATGGAATGAGAGGTATCGTTAAGTATTGTTACATGACCTTCCGATACACAGATACATTGTGCCAGCACTATCTGACTATAGCTAGATATAATTCTGAATGAAGCATAAAGCATAGTAATTCATATCAGTAATTCAGATGAGAAATCAGACTCACCCTGTGTGTTTTGAAATAATATTCTGGATTTCTGGTTTTTTCATGAAGAATAAACAGCAGTGATGCAAAACTTGTAGAACCAACCTGGAATATTGAAGAAATGACATAAGCTTAATGTACAGTTTTCAATGTAGACATTAAGCTATTTTTATGAGTAATTTTTTTTTTACTCTTAAAATACTAGAAATACAGTATTTCCAAGCCAGTATTAAATCTGTTTAAAGTGAATTCCTATATTTCACCAGGGGTTCATACAGCACTTTGCCTCAAAAATTCAAAGACTTTTCAAGGACTCTGGGCTTTGAAATTCAGGGACTTTTCAAGGATATTAGTCTGACAGAATACACATGTACCTTACATCTTAACTGTGAAATCAATAAAGATAGTTAATATTTGTCAATGGGGTTAATGATAAAAATATACACAATTTGACTCAACTCAAAATTCAAGGACTTTTCAAGAGAAAATGGGTTTTTTATGGTGTTTTCAAAGACATTTTTTGAAATCAAGGTTTTTCAAGGCAACGGACGGAATTCAAGGGTTTTTCAAGGCTGTGCGAACTCTGATGTCTCTTAAGGCAAGTCTGAGAGTTTTCAGGCAAGTCCAAAGTCAGAATATCTTTCTGTGCAAGTTTTAAATTTATGAGCTACCTCTTAGAATGACCAAATAATGACTTAAAATTTTATGTCTATCCAAGAGGTAGTTGGCTTTTAAGTCAGAATATTTGAATATCTCTGATATCATGCCAGTCTCAAGAAGCCAGGCCCTGTATTCTCGAAACGATCTTAGTGGTAGTATAGGATGTCCTAAGAATCAATGTTAGAAGATAAGAACCTAAGACATCCTAGCGCAAAGATGGTTTTGAGAATTACTTCAATTTCCAAGCAAGTCCTGTGACAGTGTACATCGGTATAATAGTCATCCAGATTTAGGATATATAAAATAATCATCCTACCAGAACCGTAAAACCTAATGGTTTTAATATCTGTGAGAGTAGGCCAGGTTTTCTAGACTCTGATATAATTGTAGGCTGCTTCGATCTGAAATTTCTCACTGGTGCTCGAAAAAACAGTTGATATTTCTTTGGTTTTACTCTTGATAATGTCACAAAATGTTTGGAAGACTGACATTGCCCTTGTGTTTTCGGAATATTTTGGAGCCTAAAAAATACATAATCATGACGTAAAATCTTCTTAACATAACTAAATGAAAAAGAAAAGCAAATAACACAATAATGTCTGATAAAGAGTCATATACCAAAAATAGAATCTGCTTCCCTGAAAACAGGTGTAATTCACAGATCCAGTAAAATTAAATGTCATGTCATTGCTATCAAGTTTAAGGGGCATTCTGTATTATTTTTAGGTCAAAAGATTTTTTTGCTCACATATAAGAAAACTTTATGCCTGAATCTAGAGATTGAGTTCAATCACCTTCCATTTGTTACGATGACGCAAAAACTATTTAAAAGGTTTTACATTAACTTTTTTAGTTTGTTTAGCTTTTTGGTAGGTATCTTATAACTAGGCTAATATTATATACAGATTTAAGCAAAATAAACACCTAATTATACAGAAATATGTCGTGTACCATTTCTAAAATTTTCAACTAAAAATGTTGAGTCTATTCTGTGTATGGTTTCTAAACATTTCAACTAAAAATGTTCAGTCTATATGAGGCCTATCACCTAAACAAGTTTTTAATTAACCCTAACTAATTATATTTGATCAAGATGTAAAAAGCATATTTTAAATAAAGGCCTATTTAATTCAGGATGTTTTTTTGAGAAAGGTAATTTTGCATAATGCCCCTTTAAAAATAAAATTGAAAATCAAAGCAAAGGTTATTTTTGGAAAAAAAAAAATTATTAGATTCCCATAAAGATGCAAATCAAAAGTCAAGATATTGACTGGCCTGAATGACCCATCTTCTCTTCCACATTACAACATTAGTATTAAGTCAAGATGATCAAAGCAGTGAAGAATGCAATTATTTTCGAAGGTTGTAAGTTATGTAAATCCTGAACCTAAACTCTATGACTGCTAAAAATAGAACTTCGTGAATACAGGTAAAGGTTTGCCTAAACAAAATGTCAAGCTACATAGAATATTCATATTAATCTTCTCAAGAGTCACAGGTTTGACTCAAGGGAAATAGATAAATGTCATTACCTGTAAAATGTGAAATCTGCGACTTTGTTCACATTTTGTGGGAGAGAATAACATCTTGTGAGCGCAGCCATCTTGAGAGTTGTAAATCAACGATATCAACAAAATACATAATATGAAACGAATATTTTTTCTTTTACATTTTTGTAAGTGTTGTATTATCAATTTGAGTCCGTTTCATACCGATTTTTAAGTCAAATAACGGGGCTTACCATTTTGCCGAAATAGGGTTATCTGAATATTATGCGTTTCTTATTTAACCATTCAGATATTGATATTTTACATCATGGCTGACACGTCGATCTAAAAAGAGAGAGTTACGGCTTCCAAAGAAACAACACAACATGAGCTCCAAGATAATTAGAGAAAAATTATCTCTCTGGGAATCGAAGACAGACTGTAAAGCTCCCCTCTCTCGCTTACAAAAGGATGCAATTATTGAATTGACACACCATGCTTCATTCAGACCAATTCCATCGGACGTGAGTTAAAAAATATGTTAGTTGTTACTGACTGACAGTGACACTGACTAATTTTCACTTTATTAATAAGCTTACCTATTGCTCTGTGACCTAGGCCAGTGCTTTCATTGAGACTCATCTCAAAACTCCCTGCTACTGACAATGACATTGTCCGTATATAATGATATAATTTGACACAGTGACAGTTACTCCTTGACTAGATCTACAAGTACAGTCGAGTAACTTAATTTCGTGGAAACCTATTATTCATGGATTTCCAGAAAGGATTAATAATTTACATTAGCGGCCTTGCGCGTCCTCCGCATTAGTTTGTTTTGATAAACATGGGTTTTCTCTATAATATCAGGTAGTAGAATGAATCCAGTAGTTTCAAGCAAGGTAAAATGTATTAATTGTATACTTTGACAAATACAAAATGGCGGATTTCACTTATTACCGAACGTCACCATTTTTTATCGGCCGAATTATCTTATAATCCCAAGCGGTAATCGGAATTTCAAGTGTCGTCTGCTAGAATGTAGTCCAACGAATGAAGTCACCTGATCAACTAGCGGATTCCGTGTCAGCAGGAAAAATTTCTATGGAACACAAAGTGGACCATATTCTTATGTTGTTTCAGTGACTTTTAGCAATAAATCACGCTACGTATCTTATTTTGTCAGTCACTATTTTTTTTTTAAATCATGGTTCTTTGAAGGAATTGTCACTAGTTATAATGAATTGATATTAAAGATAAATACTAAGAGAAGTTAATTATATCACCCGGTATCCATACAACGTGTTTTTCTAGACTTATTTATAGATAAAACATTGTACACGAAAATAGGTGACGCATTCTGCCGCTGTTGCCGAGTTGGTTGCTCATGAAATATGGGTCAAAGTGAAGGATTCATTAAGAAAATCGAAATAAACCAATTTCTATTATTTTGTAGAATATCTGAGGAAACATCTAAGACATAAATTTTTTTTTTTTCGTTTTTTTAACTTTGATGAAATTCGGTGTTGAATCCTTATATCCACGAAAATAGGTTACATCACTGTATGTCTAAATGACAATTTTTCGGTTGTGAGCTTATCTGCTGCCTGATAGCTTTGACAGTGCAGTCAACTAACCTCAATTACCTTTGGATTCATTAGAATTGGCTCTAGAAGCCCAGTCTTACCTTGTAAAGTAATTTTAACACTTGAAACTTCACCAACTCTGCCATGGTTATTCTCCAAGATTGCCCTGATAACAGTTGGCGATATCTCAGTTCTGGTGAAATGCGGGACAAATTGACCATGAGAGTTCTCGCAGGAATGTGTTATTAGACATTGTCACAATGCTACATTTTCCCAACTCACTGATTTTTGTATAATTTTACGGTAAAGTTTTACAATTTCAGTTACCAGTTGATGATGCCCCAGTTCTAGCTAACACTGCATCTACTCCAGCCTCACCTACAGGTAGTACTGATACCTTCATCAATTTATATCAACAATCTGCACCTCCTGAAGGTGGAAAAATTGAAAATGCACAGCAGGTAAGTATATTGGTTGTTTGTAATTCAATTACAGGACATATTGCACATCATGCTGAGCATTTAAGACCACAAGCATGTATAAATAACCCAAGAAAAAAACCTCTATAAATTCTATTATTGACATTTATTAAATTTTTTCTATATTTTTAAAGAGAATTGGAATTTCACCCTCAAAATAGTACTAATTGTCTTAGAATGGCTTTGCATTGATAAAAATATAATTTTTTGCAAGTTTACTTAAGAAAATAAACACATTTCTCTTCTTGAAATTTCAACCTCAAAAAAGTCAAAAGCTTTTGGCTGAATAGTTTGAATAATCAACACAAAGACATTCTTAGACAAACAATACTGTTTTAAGGCTGATATTCCAATTCCCATAAAATAATGGACAAAATTGAAAAACATTTTACTTTGCTCAGACAATTTGAAATGATAAGTTATGTATAATTGTGTATAAATAGTCATGATATAGCATTCAATGCTATTAAACTTATATTCATATCAACATTTTGTAATTAGAAACAATTGACAAACCAGTGGCTGTAGCAACTAGACTATAATCTTAGATGAATGAAATGATGAACATATACTGTTTTATTAACGTTTCCTGCTTGTAGTTCTTTTCCTGGTTTTCTGAATTGGAGGAAAATATGGATCAAGATGATGAATCTCAGTATAGGTGAGAAAACTTGCACAATCCTGTTAAGTGAGGTTGCCTTTATGTAAGAACCTTATCCTGCTGAGTAATTGATGACATCACCTTGGCATTGGGCAGCTGCCCCAGCTGGCAGAGATGATATGCAGATTTTGACAGATTGCTGTAAATTTGTAATCATAATTAACAGCTGCTTGGAAAGAATCTGAAATAGAGCCTTTGTGGAAAAACAAAAAAATATATCCTTATATAAGATATCAAGGAACCCTTTTACAAAAAATCTTACCACTATTTTTGTAGTAAGCTTATTTCTCAATGAACTAATTCCACACTTCTATAAGAAATACTACCTCTTAGAATGAACATGAAATTTAAAGGATCAAACTTGGTACATTTACCAGTTGCCATAAAGAATAGAATGTCTAAAAAGGATGATATATCCATTAAACTATTAATTGTTGAAACACACTTCTAAGGATGTTTTAAAGATACTTAGTTTAATGAATTATTACTTAGTTTAATTGATTATAAATTAGTTTTATGGATTTATTGAATTATAGAGAGATTCTGTTGTATAGTTATGACAGATAAGTCCAGTGATGAACAAAGACTAATTTTGGCCAAGTTAAAAATTTTTTTTTTTGTTGGTCCTAAGAGGTAGTATACCTTTAATATTTTTTGAAGCATATCTCATAATATATTTATGATTATTATTTTGATACTATAGAAAATATATAGAAGAATTGAGTGGTTATCAACATCAGTGTAATACAGTATTAGATGAGGTGTCTCAAGCTTTAGATTATTTACATGCATTACAGACTCAATATATCAATGTTTCTACTAAAACTAACACTTTACATGAAGCTTGTGAACATCTTCTAGCAGAGCAGGTTAGTATTAGGTCTAAAAGAATAAATAAACTATTAAAGTCGCAAAACAAAACCCGAAATGCAAACAACATATTGGCGAAACTTTGGAACTTTTCACATGAGGAAGTACAGTGGAGCCTTGTTTATCCGCACATTCCTGTTCTCGATAAAATCGTGCAGTTTAACGAAAATACGGATAGTTGAAACATGCCATTCTATAACTAGAGTTATGTTCCTTCCTATTAGGAAACCTGTTATTTGTCATGTACGCAACATGTGATAGACATGTGTGTACTTTATTGGGCCAATACGTCGTGAAAAACCCCGATAATTTTTCATTTAATTTCACTATCATAGCATGATAATAACATATATATTATGTATATCAATCTTAAGTGAGTATTTATTTTATAATGAAAAATGGTATCAGAGGGAAGACATAAAATAAGCGTCTGACCATCACAGACATTGTCTGATACAATCTACTTTCAGCCGAACATTTTGCAATTTTCATGGAAAATATTATATTTTATGTCCGGTATAAAATTTCAGAGTGTCTGGCCCAATTTCTTGAGGAATTTTATTCCCTGTATAGAAGATGCTACGATTAGTAAGGAACCTCTTAGGCCTAGGTCATAGATATTACCATTTAGATAGATTTTAAAAAGAATACTGCTCATAGAAATAATCCCAAAGAAATGAATTCCTTAGTAACATTACTTCTGGTGAAACAATAAACTAACAATCGTTTCTGGGAGTGAATGGAAAAAGTCTTCCATGGTTATGAATATCACTAAGATTTCTAAAATATTTCTATTAAGTGATCAATTTATGGTATGAATGAATATGTTTTTCATTCATTCTCAATTTTTACTTCTTTTTTTTTTTTGCTTTCAGACAAAGTTAATGAATATAGCTGAAGGAATCAGTAATAAGCTATCCTATTTTAACGAATTTGATAGAATTTCCAGTGTAGGTATTTGTTTAATAAAAAGCACATGAATTTGGCACCTCTTAAGTATTTATGATTAGCTTATCTCAATATACCACCCTGATAGACTTGTTTGTCACCCCTCATAACAGAGCAAAAACTTCGCTGTATAAATGAATTGGGCTGAAATCCTTCCAGCATTATAGTATATGATTATACAGCTACAATAATTATTAAATATTTTCACTGTTAGAATAATAATTAATTGCAGAGCTATATAGAATTAATAAAACAAAACCTAAAAGAACATATTGTTGTTACTCAGAGTTTCACGCTATGCGATTTTCAGACTACTGACCCATATAATTCAACGTGTCTCTCTACAGAATTTGAATAAGTTATATTTGTCCATTTCAGTAGGGACACAGGCTGAATTATATAGATCAGTTGTCTGAAGAAACTCAGAGTTACAACAACATGTTTTCCTAGGCTCTGCTATAATATTTCTAATTATACAGCTATATAACAATTTATTTTATTTTTCAGAAATTAGGTTCAACAACTTTATCAGTGACTAATGAATCCTTTATACCAATGTTGTCTAGAATGGATGAATGTATTTATTATTTTAGAAATAATGTAAGTAGGTCATACTTATCATTAGCCACATATACCAATTTAAACCATAAATCAATAAGTTAAATTCCAAAATCAATGATGTGGCTAAGTAGAAATCCAACAGTCCAACAGTAGTCAAGATGGAAATAAAGGATAAAGCCTGGTTTCAAAAAAATTGTAAGCCCTTTCTGCTTGAACACTATACCCAAAAGGAAACGTATGTCTTAGTGTAATTCTGTAGAAGGGATGTTGAGTTGACAGATCCAGTTGCAGAGTGACTTCAGGGTCGTAATGCGTACTTATTGTAAAGGAGCTTATAGGTTAAAGGATCAGTATTGTAAGCCAGATTAAAGATTCTATTAGATACTGTCAATAGTTGTGTAAAGTTTTGTTAACAAGGAAAAAATTTCATGAATATGAAATTTCTAGTAGTCCATTAGCATTATATTTACCCTTGAAAAGCTCTTGGACTAATATGTCCAATCAAAGAATTATTTTGTTTAGAGATTTTGAACCATAAGCAATTGTCCTTGAAATAATTCAATGAATGTCTGATCTTCTTTCAGCCACGGTTTAAAGAATCATCAACATACCTAGCTAGATTTAAACAATGTTTATCTCGAGCTCTGGGACTAATTAAAATACATGTTACCAATATCTTACAAAATGCTACTCAACAAGTTCAACCCAAAAAGGTTTGTGGAATCTTGCTTTACTTTTACCAAAAACATTGCGATGAAAGATATAACTTATTTCAAAGACAACAGGATTCTGTCTCATAGAAAAAATAGCCTAGCTACGGCCCTGTATGCGAAATATTGATAATTTATTTACTGTGATTCTTATCAACTATGTTTTCAGGATACCCAAAATATTGCTGACAATGCATTCACCTTATTTTATGGCAAATTTCGAGCTAATGCACCAAGAGTAAAACTACTAACAGAGCAACTTGAAATAAGAACAGACAAATCACCAGAGTAAGTATTCATATATTCATGCAATTCATTCATATTTAATTAATTTAGATTATTTTATTGGGATCTTGTTTGAATTTTTTGGGGATTTTAGTTGAGTTTTGAAGAAATTTTTATTTTATCAGATTTTTTTTTTCTAAATTTATTGGGATTTTTTGGTTTATTTATTGGGAGTAAGATTTATTGGGATTATTTTTAGATTTATTGGAATTTTGTTGAGATTTATTTCATAATCTAGATATATTGAAGTGTTATTTTATTCTAGATATATTGAAGTGTTATTTTATTCTAGATATATTTAAGTGTTATTTTATTCTAGATATATTGAAGTGTTATTTTATATGCTAGATATATTGAAGTTTTATATATATTCTAGATATGTTGAAGTATTATTTTATGTTCTAGATATATTAAAGTGTTATTTTATTCTAGATATATTGAAGTGTTATTTTATTCTAGATATATTGAAGTGTTATTTTATTCTAGATATATTGAAGTGTTATTTTTTTTTCTAGATATATTGAAGTGTTATTTTATATTCTAGATATGTTGAAGTGTTATTTTATTCTAGATATATTGAAGTGTTATTTTATTCTAGATATATTGAAGTGTTATTTTTTATTCTAGATATATTGAAGTGTTATTTTATTCTAGATTATTGAAGTTTTAATTGTGTTATTTTATATTCTAGATATATTGAAGTATTAAATGTGTTATTTTATATTCTAGATATATTGAAGTATTAAATGTGTTATTTTATTCTAGATATATTGAAGTGTTATTTTATTCTAGATATATTGAAGTGTTATTTTATATTCTAGATATATTGAAGTGTTATTTTTTATTCTAGATATATTGAGGTTTTATTTTTTATTCTAGATATATTGAAGTTTTATTTCATACTCTAGATATATTGAAGTGTTATTTTTTATTCTAGATATATTGAAGTGTTATTTTATATTCTAGATATATTGAAGTGTTATTTTATTCTAGATATATTGAAGTGTTATTTTATATGCTAGATATATTGAAGTTTTATTTATATTCTAGATATGTTGAAGTTTTAAATGTGTTATTTTATATTCTAGATATATTGAAGTATTAAATGTGTTATTTCATGTTCTAGATATATTGAAGTATTAAATGTGTTATTTTATATTCTAGATATATTGAAGTGTTATTTATATTCTAGATATATTGAAGTGTTATTTTATATTCTAGATATATTGAAGTATTAAATGTTTTATTTTATATTCTAGATATATTGAAGTATTAAATGAATGTCATCAGTGTTATTTTTTACAAAGAGAGAAGTTACTAGGTCCTAGTATATCATCAACAGTGACAGATTTAGCTAAAAAACATTCCAGAGATCATTGTGCTTTGGTAGGTTGTCATTAGTTTATCTTGATTGGTTTATTTTGATTCATTTTATTCCCTTTTTTTTTAGGCTCATATTCAAAGATACATAGGTATTATAAAAGATAAGATACAGTGCAGATTTTTTTTAGGCCAAATTATTTGACTGATTATCTTATTAAGTAGAAATATTGAAATAAAAATGTTTTTACTCAGAGTTTCATGCTGTCCGATCTGATAAAACCTGACTTGATCACAAAATAGTCAATAAGTTCAAACTGAGCATGGCCACATCTACTGCAGTTTATGAATAACCTTCAATTTAAGTGAAATTATCCAAATTTAAACTTGATTGAAGACCCTTTTGTAGTCAAATTTTTCTATGTTATCTATAAACATTAACAAGACCCTAAACTGTTAACCATGGTAAAATTTTTCTACATAGTGCATAATGTTGCCTGTCTTTCTAAGTCAAACTAGGAACGGAAAAACTCATTAATTTAATTTGTAAAATTTCAGGTTAGAAGTGGTTGTGCTTTCATGGTTCATGTTTGTGAGGATGAATATCAACTATTCTTTAATTTCTTTTCCAAACCAACCCCATTATTAGAGTAAGTATTGGATACTGTATCTTAGTATATATTATCATTTATCCTATACCTGAATTCAAAAATAAAAATTTCAAATTCGTTTTAGATAAGTTTTTTTTCTAATTTAATATGTCTGTGAAGCACTCTAGATAAAAAAAAAAAAAATTTTTTTACTTGTTTTTTCATTTTTTTTAGTTCTGATAAAAATTATATTCTTGTATCCCATGGAATATAGCTCGTTGAATAAATATGATATTCGATGGGCTGGGCTCAAGGCTGACATCGTTTAACGCATGCACACGTAAACTCTGTGACCCACGAGCTGAAATTGATTAATGTCAAGAGGTATGGCCAAGGACCAGCTGGTGGACAGAAGCCTTGTGAGCCCAAGTTGTTTGTTTGCTTCTCCTAATGCATAGTTCATAATTCCAGTCGACCCAGCTGTAAATAAGGAAAAATCAATGCATAGAGTTTGGCCGATGACAAGCTGGTAGAAAGGATCCTTGTGAACCTAAGTTGTTATCCTTGTAAAAAAAAATCATATCATATATTTCTTTCTATAATAAGCCATGAACCTTGATTATATTACAGTCAGATGTTGGAGAGAATGTGTAATAATCTATATGATGTATTCAGACCATTAATTATACATGTCAACCATCTGGAAACTCTGTCAGAATTATGTAGCATACTAAAAATAGAAATGATGGAAGAACATGTCAGCAATAATGGTAAGTATTAAAGGGACAGTTTCACCGATTTCAGGTGGTTGATCTGGGTTTTGAATATTTATGTAAATAAGTACTAGAAATGTTCAAAAATTGTTTAATTCTTTCAAAAATACCTCGAAATATGAATAAACTTTCTTTTCTCTATATGACAGTGTCTCAAGAAAAGAAAGTCGTTATTTTAACCTTCAAATATGAATAATTCTTGACATGCATGGATTTGAAAGCTCGAATGTGGATGGTGAACACTATTACTGATTAGCTTAGCTAAAAATTATTCCCTTCTCTGAAGCTAAGGTATGATTGGTCAAACAGATGGTGAATCTGTCCCTTTAAGTATGATAAGGGACAGATTAGCCATCTGTTTGACCAATCATACCCAAGTCTAGGGTTATATGAATTTTTATCTAAGCTAATCAGTAATAGAATGCACAGCCCACTTTCAAAATTGGAGCCTTTCAGAATTGTCCACTTTTGAAAGTTAAACTGACGACCTTTCTTTTTTTGAGATAAAGCATATATTGTGATTAGTGAAATCATCAAACACTTAGTTTCAGTAGAATTGCAGGAACCACAGATGTCTGATTGAAAATTGGAATAGTGAAAATTGATGCTATCAGTGTCCCTGATACACTTAAAAATTTAAGAAAACCTCATTACAACCCCTTTAGTTCAGCTTACCAATTTACTTTCAGTTCAAGAACTGGGAGCATTTGAAGTGATATGTAAACAAATGCTAATGGATGTACAAGAGAGACTGGTTTACCGTACCTATATTTATATTAAAAGTGATATATTGAACTATACTCCAGCATCTGGTGATCTGGCCTACCCTGAAAAACTAGAAATGATGGAAGTAAGTATTAGGGGAAACTATTTGAGAATGAAATGACTCTTTCCAGAGGTTGCTGAATGTTCTAATATATGACAAATGAAGCCTCCAGAGCCAATGTAAACATGTAGATGGAAAAATTCTAAACTTTCTGGGTTTGTTGATTTGATTAGATTACTCCTATTAGATTTTATTACGATTTTTTTTTTGAAAACCAAAAACAACACACAGAACATTTTGAGCAAAATTCGTTGATACTAATCAGCCTAGGTATAAGAACTGAGACATTAACTCTCTAATGATCTTACTGTGTACCTTTTTAGAGTATAGCTGAAAGTTTGAAAAAACCAGCAACAAGCCATTCCCGAACACCCTCAAATGCTTCAAGCACTAGCCAAGAGGTAGCTCAGTTAACAGTAACACAAGATGAATTGAATGGTGTGCCTTCTTTAACACCCACTACCAAAATACCAGGTAAATATTACATTTCACAACTAAAATACAAGGTAAATATTGTATTATACAACCAAAATACCAGGTAAATATTGTATTATAAAACTAAAATACCAGGTAAATATTACATTATACAACTAAAATACCAGGTAAATATCACATTATACAACTAAAATTCCAGCTAAATATTACATTTCACAACTAAAATACAAGGTAAATATTGCATTATACAACCAAAATACAAGGTAAATATTGCATTATACAACCAAAATACAAGGTAAATATTGTATTATACAACCAAAATACCAGGTAAATATTGTATTATAAAACTAAAATACCAGGTAAATATTACATTTCACAACTAAAATACCAGGTAAATATTACATTATACAACTAAAATACCAGTTGAATATTAGATCATACAACTAAAATATCAGATTAATATCACATTATACAACTAAAATTCTGGGTAAATATTGCATTATAGAACTAAAATACCAGGTAAATATTACATTTCACAACTAAAGTACAAGGTAAATATTGTATTATACAACCAAAATACCAGGTATATATTGTATTATAAAACTAAAATACCAGGTAAATATTACATTATACAACTAAAATACCAGGTAAATATCACATTATACAACTAAAATTCCAGCTAAATATTACATTATACAACTAAAATACCAGGTAAATATTACATTTCACAACTAAAATACAAGGTAAATATTGTATTATAAAACTAAAATACCAGGTAAATATTACATTATACAACTAAAATACCAGGTGAATATTAGATTATAAAACTAAAATATCAGGTAAAAATTGTATTATACAACTAAAATACCAGGTAAATATAACATTATACAACTAAAATATCAGGTTAATATCACATTATACAACTAAAATTCTGGGTAAATATTGCATTATACAACTAAAATACCAGGTAAATATTGTATTATACAACTAAAATACTAGGTAAATATTGTATTATAAAACTAAAATACAAGGTAAATATCACATTATACAACTAAAATACCAGGTAAATATTACATTATACAACTGATATACCAGGTAAATATCACATTATACAACTAAAATACCCGGTAAGTATTACATAATACAACTGATCTACCAGGTAAATATTACATTATATAACTAAAATACCCGGTAAATATGACATTATACAACTGATATACCAGGTAAATATTACATTATATAACTAAAATACCGGGTAAGTATTACATTATACAACTAAAATTCTGGGTAAATATTGCATTATATAACTAAAATACCAGATGATTATAGATTATTATACAACTAAAATACCAGGTAAATATTAGATTACAACTAATATACCAGGTAAATATTAGATTATGCAACTAATATACTAGGTAAATATTAGATTATGCAACAAAAATACCAGGTCAATAAAACTTATACCACTCTGTTAATGGGTAAATACTTAATTTTTATTACTTTAATGCCAGAAAAGTAATAAAGTTTGATTTTATTTCTAAAGGTTTAGAAGTAACACCAACCAATATGCCAATGTCACCTGCAGATTTACACGGCATGTGGTATCCTACAGTACGACGTACATTGGTTACATTATCTAAATTATATAGATGTATTGATGTAAGTTATTAATATAATTGATTATGTCAGTTGTCTGAAGATTGCATAGCGACGTGTAGTGAGTAACACCATCACTTACAGGGACAGGTTTGCAATTTGGTGGGTTGACTTGAGTCTTGAATATATGTAAATAGTCTTCAGAAGTACTATAAATGTAAAAAATCGCAAAATTCCTTTAAAAATACTTCAAACAAGGAATTTTACTATTTCTAAATATGTCTTTTCTATATATCAAAGAGTATCTTAAAATGATGACACACATGGATTTGAAGGCTCAAATTTCGACGGTGAGCTATAAACACTATTACTGATTAGCTAAGCTAAAAAATTGCTGTTTCTGAGACTAAAGTATGAGTTATAAAGAAAATGGCGCATCTGTCTCTTTAAGTTCTGTTTTAATATTTTTAATTGATTATCCTGTTCATATCCAAGGCAAATAATTTGACAGAGGAGAAAACTTCACCTTGTTTAGCAAGCAATTTCTCCTGAATATTATATGTATAATATAATATTAAAACAACTAGATGCTTTACAGAAGAACCATCAGCATTATTTAGTACCCAAACCAACCTTGGTAATAGATGGAATCATTGTGTCTTCTTTGGGATTTTTATTTCAACTTTTCAGCAATGATTTGTCAATATCACAAATTGTTAAGATTTTTAGTCCATAGTTTTTACAAATTCCTACAGCATGGCTCTTCTAACTTCTTCATCATCTTGGCATATTTTTCTGGATATAGCTAGATGGCTAAAAATATATGAATTTTATATTTTTTTATTTTATTTTGTTTTTTGTATTAAACTCTCTAAAATTGGTTGAAATCAATAAAGATATTTGGTATTTTGCATTTCAGAGAACAACTTTCCAAGGGTTATCACAGGAAGCTCTACAAGCTTGTATTGAGTCTTTAAAGAAAGCAGAAGATGGAATCACCAAGAGAAAGGTACATAAAAAATTCTTCTTACATTGGCCTTAAACCTACCAAGACCATCATGGGAGCTGGGGTGGCTTAGTGAGTTAGACACATGATCACCTCTTGATTTGATCTTAGCATAGGATGAGATAAAACCTTGGGATTTTCAAGAAGGTGATGCAAAATCAGAGAGACTGACAAATGCTGCCCTGAAAAAGCGCTTCACTTAGAGGTAAAGTTGAAGGCTCTCTCCTTTAAAAATACTTCAAACTAGGAATTTTACTCTCTATTTCTATATATGTCATTTATATTTATCATGGAGTATCTTAAATTGAAGACTCGTCATTTTAATGTTCAAACGTAGATAATTCTGGACCCACATGGATTTGAAGGCTCAAATTCTGATGGTGGGCTGTAGGTTTTAACATGATTTTTACCCTAAGTTTCTGAATATCTTGAATGGTTACCCCACAAAACTGTGACAAAACAAGCTTTTGCTCTTCTCAAGTTGGATTTTGATGTGAATAACAGCCTAGTTGAAGGTTTAATGAAAGTATTTGTGCAGTAACAAATTTTTCATAATTTTACATCCTTCTTGACCTTTGGAGGGCCGCAGCTCAAAATAATTTGTGTGACAAGCGACTCATTTCGTGGTTTCTGCTCACACTAATGTATCTAATTATCTTAACCTTTAACTTGCGCCTTTTTTTTATCATAAAGCTTTACATTGTGACCTCGGCCGGTGCTTTCATGAGACTATGTTCTCATCACCATCTAACACTATAAACAAGATCAGGATGTGGAAATAGCTAGATTATAATGATGTTTATTTGTGTAATGTTATAATGAAATGTCTTATTAACAGGTTGCTGTAGATGGTCAGTTATTTTTAGTAAAACATTTATTAATATTGAGAGAACAGATAGCACCATTTCATGCTGATTTTTCAATCAGAGAAACTCATCTTGACTTCACCAAGTTTAAAGGTCAGTATAGGTATTTTACTATTATTTAAGCATGGTTAGAATAATTACTCTACTCAGCCTCTATATATTTTGATTGTTAACGGCTGGTTAAGTTATATTAAGCTCTACTTTAATTCAAAAATCGTTATTAAACCTCACAAAGCAGCAATATGGAATCCAGAACGAGGCTCATAACGCAAACAAACAAAGGGTAATAGCAACAGCGTGTCACTGCAATGAAATCGCCACCTTGAAGCCTCTTTCTCCAATCCCACTAGATCAAAACAAACCATATTTTATGTCATTAAAATCAGAGTTGATGAAGCTATTTAATGATACTTTCTGTTGAAATTAACGTGTCACAAATGTTATTCCTTCCTTTTCACAAGATGACGTAATTTGCATTATGAGCCTCGCCTTCAATGGTTCCAAAACGAGACGTGAATAAGGTCTATTCCCCCATAAACATCACTCAAAATCACCAATAAAGCACCATTTTAGTTCTATTAATTTTACTAAGTTCAATTATTTTGCCTATAATCTCTAGAAATGACCTTTACTGAACATGGCCTTGGTTTAAGCAGTTTTAGGGGTATGTTCCTTTTTTTGTGTTTATGTAGAATTGTATGGGCATGTACCTCTGTATCAATTAGTAGTGTACTAATTTTGTTTCTCCTGTAAAAGGAAAGAATTTCTTCCCATGCCATCTTTCACAATGTCAAGCTATTAGGAACTATGTCTAACTCCTCAACTGCAATATCCACCCTTCTTGTATCACAGAAGTTTGTAAATGCAATGATTTGATTTGATTGTATGCTACCAAGTACAGCCTATCAGAGCACTGGACAGAAAGAATTTGGAAGTGTATGTAATCAAGGGCTATATGAATGGTGATATTTGGTAGCCTAAAATTCAATCCAATCGCAACTGTGATACAAGAATAGTGGCTATTGCATTCAAGGTATAAGACATAGTTCGTAATAGCTTGACATTGTCAAGATTCTCTATTGCATGATCTGTCATTGTGACAGGGACAATAAAGAGTTTTCTGGTTTAGTGTGTGTATAAGAACGTCTATTGCATCTTTCTGATTTCCTATTCAACATGTCGTTTCTGTGGTTCCAGTGAATTGGCAATAATGATGTAAAATTTGAATATACAGGAACCACTGATAATAGACAAGAAATCCACTACACTTGATACACTTACTAAAATTTGAAAAAACTCTTTTGAATACCTCCAAAAAGGGGTTTTCAACCAGGATAATCACCTCCAAGGGGGTAATTTAAATGTTTTCAGGCAGTAATGAGACCCTTTGTAGTCTATCCTAAAAGTTTTGGACAATTATAATTTAAGTTGTTCTATTCAGTCAGCCTATATTTTCTAATATATGTAAAAGGTTACAGGGAAAACCTAAGAGAAAATCATGAAATAGTATGGATTTATAGATTGAAAGTGGGGTAATGAAAGAGGTAATGGAAAGAAAAGAGTTGAAAACCCCTGCCTTAAACTGTAAATGTAGTTGATTTATTGGTAATTGTTAAAACAGTCTGATAAAAATACAACTCAGTTGGTATTTTCATTTGTTTTCCTTTATAGAAAGTCTTATTGTTCAACTGAACTTTGAGATATGAAATTAAAATATGTATATGCAATAAAAGCCACTGTCATAAGTGGAAAAGTCAATTACTATTGGGATTGTAGAGTCGATGTCTGTGGTTTGTGCTAAAGTGTTTAATTACGTCACTTTCACAAAATCTGCTTCAATCGTATAAGGCCTTTTGCGAAAGTGACGTGATAAAACGCTTACTTTTAGTCAATGCCAAGAACCTCATAAAATTGGAAAGGCGCAAATCGATGCTATCAATGTCCCTGATATACATACAAAATTTAGAAAATCTATTGACTATCCTTTTAATCAATGAATCATAGATTGAATCAGGTCAATCAGAGAGTTTCATAGAGAGGAAACTAAAATATTCAATGAATATGTATTTTGATCAGACTGTCATTCTAAAATGGTGCTGGATGATCTCAGGGTTAACATTAATTATTATATATCCTTTGTCAGAATTTGGAAACGGGGGATAAAATATTAAAAATTGTTTTATACATGTACTATTTTGCTGTTTTCATCACAATTTTTGATATTGTGAGGTTATTTTGTACAAACAGCATGCTTCAATCAATCTGTGTGCTGTGCTGGGTTTGAGTTTATGATAAATTTTGTACCAAACATAACATTGACTGAAAAAAGGACCAGGATGTAAGGTACTTGAATGACTTTAAAGGGACAGGTTCGCCATTTTAGGGTGTTGAATTGGGTCTTGAATTTATGTAAATAGTCTTCAAAAGTACAAGAAATCGCATAATTCCTTTAAGTCTCTTCTATATATATAACACATTATGTTAAATTGATGAGTCGTCATTTTAACATTCAATGTGAATAATTCTGGACACTCATGGATTTGAAGGCTTAAATTTCTACTGTGAGCTATGAACACTATTACTGATTAGCTTAGCTTAAAAATTTGAGTTTCTTTAACTAAGGTACACTCGATCAAAAAAATGGTGCCACTGTCCCTTTAATCCATTTGTTATCTTTTTGTTTTCTGTCATTAAAAAAAACCTTCAGTTAACACACCATTAGATATAGCTTTAGATACAAAGCGTAATGAAAACTTTAACAACTTTTAACACATTTTATTTGGTTTGGTATGTCAAACTCTTCATTCAGTTGAGATAAAGTTGTCTAAATATTTGCTTTACCAGCTGAAAATTCTCAATTTCAGTATCTAACATTAAATTAGATTTAAATTAACAAAACGGTACAACATGAATTTTTGTCTTTTGTCATTTTTAGGGTCTTAGTAACTTTTTCACTTGTACCTATTGCAGATATTAGTCATTGGTAGACTGAAATTGCACGATTTATGTAAAAAAAAAAAAAAAATATCTTTGATTTTTAACCAAATATCATTCTCTACTATTTTGGGTGAAATGAAACTTGACGGATGTTTTTGTTTATTTTAGATGCAGCCTATGCTTTACTACAGAAGAAATCTCAACTGTTTGCCTTTAACAGTACTAATGCCCTGTTACACTTTATCTTGGAGGTAAATTTCTTCGTTTAATCCTATATCCCTCAGCCCATAGAAAATCTCAATTTTACTAGTATTCATTTAAAGAGGCAGTATGCAAAATTTTCATTTTCAAAAACCTCATTAATTATAACTAAAAATATTTCTGAAATATGCTTATTACGAATATGTATCTACTTGATCAAACTGAACTAGTTTAATAAGTTGACTAATTGTTAATTAAGCAGTTTGAGCTTATATCATTAGTTGAAGCCTTCAGAATAAGTAGGAGACATATTGACGTTTATTTTGCTTAAATCTGTAAAGTAGTGTTCTTACACTTACCAAAAAGCATAACGAACTTAAAAAGATTTTAAGATAGTTTTGGCATTGAAAAATTAACAACTTGTTTCTCTAGTAAATGTGAGCAAAAATTTTTTTAGGCCTATAAAAAGAGCGGAATACCCTTTTATATCTAATTTTGTACACGTGAAAAGCGACTAGTTTCCACTGTCATGTCCAAGTCCAAAAAGTAGGATGTATAAATGCATTCATTTAAAATCTTATTTACAATTTGTTTCCAGGGAACTCCTCAAGTGACAGAGTATTTTGTTGATTCAAAACATGATGTGGATCAACAATTAAAGAAAACTTGTGAAAACTTTATCCATCATGTAACTGATACATTAACTGGACCATTGAAAGCTTTCTTATCACGGGTTAGTATCACTGACTTCATGGTGGAAATCCAGAATCCATATTATTCTAGATAATTATACACACTCAGGAAGTTCCTTTGTGCTTAAAACATACAATATGAATGTTTCTGTCTTAAACTACACAGACTATATAATATGTTAGTGCCAGTATATGTTTAATAAACTTATCTCTTGAAAAATAGAGGAGGCAAGATATTGCTGTTGTCTCATCAAAGTTTGCTCCATTGCACAATGCAGTCATGTTATAAAATGGATTGTGGGTTTCTTCAGCCACTCCAGTCATGGGAATAAAGTCCTATTTTTTTCAAAGTTTCACTTTCTTTTCAATTAGGAATTTAGGCCCTTTTCAAATTTTCACTTAGAATAATAAAACCTTTTCAAATTTTCATTTAGAATAATTAAACCTTTCAAATTTTCACTAAGAATAATTAAACCTTTCAAATTTTCACTTAAAATAATAAAACCTTTTCAAAATTTCATTAAGAATAATGGAACTTTTTTAAAGTTTTCACTCAGAATAATGAAACCTTTTCAAATTTTCACCCTAGTCTGCAGTGGTAATTAATATGAAGAAAGATGAAATGACTTCTAATGTTACACTAAGACAACAACCATTTGCTACCCCAGAAAAACTTCATGATGTGGTTGCTGAGACGTATAAAATAGTTAAAACAAAAACACCGGCCATTCAGAAGTCCATGGCTCTATATTTAGCCAATAAAGATACAGAATCCATTTTATTTAAACCTATAAAGGTATGTTATGTTATAGTTGTCAATATACCAATCTAACAATAATAGTTATTAGGACACTCTGAAAGGGATGTTGTGTTGAAAAACTCAAGTGCCACATGCTTTGAGAATGCCCTGCCTTGTCACAGTGGCAGTGCCAACCTCCCAAAACTAGGGGTACAAATAAGAGGCACAATTGGGGGACAAGGTTGACTTCAAATTGCCACAGCTCAATGGAAGTGCCGTAGCACCTGAAAAATGTTGAGAAATAGAATTGATTGAACTGCATTCTGACATATGTTTTGGGTCAAAAAGGTATCAAAATGATATTTTTAAATTTGTTCGAAATGTACCTTCACTAGCCTCACCACTGTCTTGTCAGAATTTAGTCTTCAAGCTGGGGTGTCTTTTGATTGATAGGCTAGAGAGTAAGAGATGATGTTTTTTGGATGTTAACTTGCATTGACTTTTGGATGTAAACCCTTTTCCCAGACGGTACCACTATTTCATCCCATACAGAGGCTCTAATTGGCTTTATTTCCTGGCGTACAATCCAATCAAATCACTGCTTTCCTTGATACACGAATTGTGACTGTTGCAGTCAAGGTATAAGACAAAGTTCTTAATAGCTTGACATTGTGATAGTGAAGATGACATACAACATGTACCTTGTCTTTTTTGCCTACTAGGTAAATGTACAGCAGTCATTTCAACAACTAGAACAGATATTACAAGAGGAATATAATGATGAAGATAGACAAATAGTAGCTTGTCCTAGTTCAGAACAGGTATGTACTAGTCCTGTAACTACCAACACAATATCCCCTTTTGAAATGAGAATCTAAAAGTTTGATGCAAAAAATTGCTGTAATATATTGTGATGACTCATTTCAGCTACTTTTCACATTTAGAGTTCAAATAAAATTTGTAATTTAGACCAAACTTTCGTTCCATTTCTATTAACTTTTATTTTTGATATACCCACTTCAGTTAGGATCTAAAGACTGGCCTCTTTTACATTCGTCAAAATAACCTTTTGACCTAAACCTGCTTTAACCAATCAAATTTCTGCCCTCTCCAGTGAGAGTGAGACAGTGGAGGAATTTAATTGAAAGAAGTTAAATAAGATGTCATCAGATTAGGTCGAAAGGTTATTTTGAGGAATGTTTAAAAGGCCAGTCTTTGGACCCTATCTGTAGTACCTATATCAAAAGTAAAAGCTTATAAAACAATACAAAAGCTTGGTCTAACTTTAATTAAACTGGTCACTTTCCAAAATTAATACACTAAAGTGGGAATTTGTTCTCATGCATTCTGAGATTCCCCTCTAAGTCAATTTAGTGCCTGTTAATGTATTTTTAGTTTGTAGTTAATGCTATATCTGGGGGTGGAGGCCATAGACATGGTTCAACCAGTCTGTATGGTAGTTGAACCACTGTTATAGGCAGGCAGCATACTGACATCACATCACTCAATATCTCAATAATAATCATTTCTTTTGTTTACAGGTTAACTTGTTATTGTCAGCATCAAAATAAAGATTCCAGTCAGAGCCCAGATGTTATCTTTTGTGGGGAATTACTTGGGGTAATTTGGGTTTTCTTTGGTTTATACTAATCTAATGGGAACAGACAGATAACAGTGTCTGATGTTATAGTATTTATTATCATTGTTACTTTCTATTTTGTAAATAAAAGGATTTATATTCTAATTCAAAATTTCACAAAATTTCACTAGAGGGTACATATGGTGAGGAAAGCTATCAGATCTCATAATATAACGCAGATTGTCCCCAATTCCATTGACAATTTGACATGAACAACCACATGTTAAGTTCAAATTGAACAAATTCAGAAACCATGCTAAATGGAGATTTTTGTATATTTGTGAGGGTTTGAGGTGATTGATGACATAAACATTAAATAAACAAAATTGTGTTTGCATGTATATTGTGTTATTTCACAGTATTTGACAACAGAAGATTTCCAATAACTATGCAGTAAACATATGCGAGCATATTAATCAATACATTACTATTATATCTAGTACAATTATCATTGTTATTATACAAAATATACAATCAAATCTTCATACCTAAACTTACTTAAACAATTTTCCCAAAATTTCAAGGTATCACATTCCTCTGATCATAGTCAAGCAAAATATTCATACAGCCTACATTATTTAGGTAGTTTCAGATGTGCCGCACAAATCTGGCCAAACCAGTTCTTCAGATGATATATATATATAGGATGAGATAACGTCACTTTTTATTGAGTTGCTTGATCCATTTGCTAGTATTGGAGATTTTTTTCTATGACAAAAGCCAAATTTGATACCATGCAGAATATCTGCTAGTGTCTTGATTGACTTGTAAATGGTTCAGCCTTTTATTGATGAATTTGACTTTTGATAAGGTGAAATTTCTCAAAAACTAGAAATCTAAAAATGCATGGAGGCAACTCCAAAAATAGTAAATTTTCATGTTTGGCCCTATACATGCCCCAAACGGGACATTCCATCCATGTGTTGAAGAAATGGGTAGGCCCAGATTTGTCAGGCTGATCAGGCCCATAAAGTTGCTGTATTCAGACCATATGTCATAAACATTAATTTGAATTTTTAATTTTAACTCAAACATGCACAAATCTCTTGGCTTGACTATATCAGTGCAACTCATTAAAAAGACCAAGTTGCTTTGTCGGTGGTGAAATTTTTCTTTGATTATAACTTTCAATACATACCTTCTAAAGCCTTTCTGGAATTATACACATGATTAGTTCTTTATTTAAATATCGTTTATCCTTCCCTTTAAATTTGATTTTCATTGAGAGATCACATTGTCATAAATCTTATTTTTAAAGTGACCCATTCATTTACAGCAAACTTTGACTTGTACAGATATTTTTCTATAGGTTGATATGTTAATAGTATTCAAATATAGCTAAATATTACATGTTTACATCCTAACAAAATATCTGTACAAGTCTAAACCAATAGAGGTATTCAACTGGCAGATTTCGTTGAGTACACTAAAAGCTGTGCAGTAGTAAAATGGAGGAAAAAGCTCCGTTTCGTGCCCAACAAAACCCCACGATGGTACCAGTCGAACATATATCATTGTTAACGAACTCTCCATGTTCCACAAAATCGACCAGTCGAATACGCCTAATATAAAAGTTCATTACTTATATAAGCATTCCCAGGCCTTTCAATATCAATTGGTAACAATAAGAAATACAAATGAATTGAAACTATATCTAGTACCTCAAATTGACTGAAATGGTTGAACATGTTGAGACAGGAATAAAGATATGTTTGATAAATAAAATAATGTACAAAATGAAATAAATATTTGAATAAATATTGAAAAAGTTTTATTATGGATACATTTTTTTGATTAGAATATGTCATTTGAACTGTCTTAAGGCTTAAGATACACTGGCGATTCAATATGCTTATTGGATCTGTTGAAACATTGACACAATACTTACAACCTACTTTCATTAGCTAATAGCATTAGAGATATTTCAACTGAATGTGCACTCATGTAGACTAAATTTAGTGATTGATCAGATTTTCTGAGATGCCTCCAGTTGGTAAAAGTGTTGAAAATCCAACTGCTCCTGGACTGAGCCATTTGCAAGATCGACCTCAGGCACCCTTTAAAATTATAAATTGACAGAGAAACATGTAGTTTCTGACTTTCTGACATCCAGACATCTCCAGACAAAGTAGGACTGGATGATAGAGGCTAGGATACAGGTAATTTAAATTATATCATAGACAGTGAACTTTACACCTCTATGTCTAATACCTTGACAATTTATATCACTAATACTCAATCCCCTAAATAAAAACAATCCAGTTATTTGTAACTAAAACATATCAATTAATACTTAACATAACAAAAACATTTGTAGTTTATCATGAGGTAATATTATTTGAGTTAAAGTGAACTTGGGACAATATATAATATTGAACATTATGCTAATATATGATGGCACTATATATTCCATTGTGCAAGTATTGAATATATCAACTTGCTTTCCCCATCTCCAGCTCTATTTCTTGTTATCTAAATCATGATTAGCAACCGCAGTGATTGTAATATCACTGGTCTATAAAGAGTGGAAAGCAAATATAATGTTGTCATGACTTGAATAAGGTTGTACCTATATAATATGGTTTTAGATTGAAAACAATTACAATCAAATCCTAAATTTCAAGTTCTTAGCATAATACTTCAGATCTAGAGCCACTATACTTTGTACTTTCTTTGTACCCAACAATATTTGTCATTAGGCTTTCTTAATAACCCTTACTTTTTAAAGGGATTGTAAAGAGGTTTTTTTTAAATTGTTTATGTGTATCAGGGACACTGATATCACCAATTTGCATCATTCTAATTTCAATAAGATGTCTGTGGTTCCTGCAATTTGACTAAAACTAAGTATATGATGATGTCACTAATTGTAAAATATGCTTTATCACATGATTCCCTTTGCGATTAGTGACATCATCAAACACTTAATTTCAGTGAAATTGCAGGAACCACAGACGTCTGATTGAAAATTGGCATGGTACAAATTGATGATATCAATGTCCCTGATACACAAAAGATGTTTAAACAACCTCTTTACAATCCCTTTAAGAAACATAACAATCTGTATATATAAACCTAAAACTTAAACATGTTAAAATTCTCACCACTGTACAATAGCAGCACATCTATTATATTATATACATTATGCTAAATAAAAATTGCACTAAGCCATATACATCTAAAAACTTCTATTCACATTTAATTTTTACAACTTATTCTTAAACAGTTAGGTTAGCAACAGTCTAATTAAAATTATACCAAACTTGCGTTCGCTCTTTTATTAGCTTTAATTTTGAATGTAGCAACCACAATCAGGGTCCAACGACAGCCCCCTAGAACAGTGATCTCAATAATCTTCCGACCCGATGACCTCTGCTTTAACCAATCAAATTTAAGTCCATTCCATTCTACTGAGACTATCCAATTAAAAGGTGTGTTCTAATTTGAATTTCAGTGAACTTGATAAACTTCTGGGAATACACATTTTGTTCCTGTCACAAAATCCCAGCACTGGAGAGGGAAGAAATTTTGTTATAGCAGAGGTTATCAGGCTAGGTCAAAACAATATTGGGATGAATGTTGAAGAGGGCTGTCTTTAGACCTTAACTGTGGTGGCTACATTAAAAATAAAAGCTAAAAAAAAAGCCAAGATTGGTCTAATTTTAATTAAACTGCTTATTCAATACATATCGCTTTCTGAAACTTATTGTTAAAATATTGCCTCCAATAAACGGATACGTTTGGATAAAGATAATCACTAAACTATTATTAAAGTAGGGCATTTATAATTTAAGCCTGTAGCATGATATACACGATTACACTTGGAATGAATAACATAGACAATATAATACATACATATTATTCCTCAATGGAGTCAAAATTCTCATGAAATACAATACTAAGCCTAACTTTCTATTTCATAGAAGACATATTCTAGCTCAAATTTTTTAAAATGATGGACTCAAGATTTTCCATTAAATGTTAAACACTAAGAATATGCTTCAGGTCTTGTAATAATGTGCAGAGTTGTTTTTTTGTCAAGTAATGATGACCCTCGTAGCCTATGCTTCTACCTAAACAACCTCGACATAAAACAGTGTGCCATGCTAGTAATATGCTAGTGAATATTATGTATATGCTGTTGATATAAGGTCCAATACTAAAGGACTTGTGTAAAGCCTGTGTTGACTGTGATAGATGTCATATACAAACAGATATGCAAGACAATTTCTCCATATCTATAAATCTTAAAACTAGAATAGCAAATTATGCATTTGACTGTGCTTTTATATCCCTAACACCTAACGTCTATAAAGACAAAATATCAAGGGAAAAGGTTGGAATTTCAGACTTGTATTAAATCTAAATCGCCCAACCACACCAAACACCTCATGCTACCGACATATGTTTTGGATACAAAATCCTTATCAGGCAACCACATTTGGAAGTATATTTTTCAGAATACACACGAAGGACTATTAGCATAAAAAGTGAACTCACTGGCGTGAAACTGAAAATAGGAGGCATATAGTTAATATTGTGCATCACAGATTTTTTATAAAATTAATGAATTTGAAGAAAGATTGAAATACCATCTTAAAGCTTCTCTTTTACTTCTCTAAATTCAAAAAGTTTCAATTCCAAATCTATGGTAAAGAACATTACCACTTTTAAAATCCACATCATTTTTTACTTTAGTTCAGTTGGGTTGATTGGATTTGAAATCAACCGCAAAAACTCCATCTAACAAACGTCCTTTGATTCTAAATGGACAATCATAGACAGCTATAATAAGCCACAATAAAGTCATTAAGCATCAAGCATTAATCAGTGCTACACATTGAAAATATTGACAATGAGTTTTATCATTAAAATTTTTATCACATCACAAAACACAATCCATTACTATCCTTCCTTAATATCTTTCATGTCTTTTTTTGTTTGAGCAACTTCCCTTATAGAGTTGATTGTCTTATTAAACCAGGTATTTTTAGATGCTTGGATTTCAGTGATAGCTGAGTTGAGTTGGTGTGTAAGATCCTGGGTCTTGCATTCAGATTCGACTAGAGCTAATTTGGTTTGGGCTAATTCTAATTCCAATTCTCGAACTTGACGTTTTAAGTCAATGATAATGGGATTTTGATCAGCAGGATTGATAACTGGGTCTGGTAATTTGACATTTCCATCTTTATCAAACAGTTTAGAACAATCGTTACAATCTTTAACTACATTCTACAATATAAATCAAGAAAGAATTTTGAAATGATAAAACCATGCTGTGTACAGTAAGGGAAATTCTGCCAGACAAGGATACTCTTGTATCGTTACAAAGGTCTACTTGTAGGGTGTGTTAGCAATCAGCATATATTAAAGATGGGTTTCCTTGTTTTTTTAGAGTCAAATTAAGCGAACTGTTAGATTAATTGGTGTTTCTAGTGAATTATCATGTATTCTTAATATCATTATGTTCTTTTTGCATATAATAAGGAGATTTTAAACAATCATAAATGTCCATGTAAATACAGTCTGGATAAACCAAAAAAGACCTTTTGACCTTTCTTGATCAGTCACTCACTCGAATTCTGCTAGAAATTCTCTTCCAATTTAGCTAATTATGAATTAATTATGGACATGTGAGACAAACTGGTATTTTCCAAGTCATTAGAACACCTCTACTTTCTATTCATATAAGTATTAGCATTTCCATTTTCATAAATGAAAATAAGGGAACCCATCTTTAATACTTGAATCTGGTGGTCACCTGAGATATAGCGGTATAATGCAATGTATCTTTTAAACAATGTCTATCGTGTGTGGCTAATGAAATCTTGGACACATGACAATGTTCTTGATTTTGGAATGACCAATTCAATATTTATTGGATAGTTTTTTATCACACTAACCCTTATTCTGAGTAATTCTTCTTTCGATGCTGTCTGTTGTTTTTCTAATCTTTCACTTAACTGAGAACAGATCTGTAGAAATACAATAGGTCATTCTATAAATTTAAGTACTTTAATGGTGTTGGGTTAAATAATGAAATGAATGGAGTTTTACATCCTACTTTTCTGCACCATGTAAGCTAATGAAGTTAAGACATAATGTTAGCTTACTTTAGATGATTGAATTTTATACAAATAGAGTTGAATCTATTAGCTAACTCAAATCTAAATTGACAGAAAGGAGTTTTACATCCTACTCATCTCCACCATATTGGGCTGTTGAAGACGGAGAAACACAATGCAAAGTGAAATTTTGCCATGACAGTTGCATTAGCCTGCTCTTTCTCTATTTCCAACTGTAGAGGAATGAACAGCTTGCAGCGCACTGGGCCTCAGTTTATTTTTTCGACGAGGCGCATTTTCAATGTCGGCCTCTCTAACCTGCATCATTGACACAAGGGGAAACTGGGTTGAAAAATCCTGGGATTGAACCCTGGACCTTCAGGTTAGCAAGCAAGCGCCTAACTCACTTCTCAAATCACAAAAATCACATAATCGAAAAATAACAATTCATGACAAACTACAAATAATTAATATGTTAAAACACTCAGATGGAATCTGAGAATTCCAGACAAGGCCAAGCTACACCTTCAGACTAAGTCAATGCTACTATCAAACAAACCTGTTTATAATCAGCTATAATTAGAGTATTTCTACTACTTTCACTTTCAGCTCTATCTAATTCTCTTCTACACATTTCTTTTAACTGTAATATATATATACAATATCAATATTAAATCTTTTACATTCAGAATGAATAATACCAGAAGTTTTTGTAAATGACCAACCAATTAAATTTGGTAGAGAAATATCATCTCCTAGGCATATGAGTCACTTCACACACCAGGTTTGTCACCTGAGAGACCAACAACAAACAAAAAACTGGACAAATTATGGAAAATAGATTTTAATGAGACAGAGTTGTCATTTTCGGGGTTGGTTTGGGTCTTGAGTATATGTTTATAGTCTTTAGAAATACTCGAAATGTACGAAAATCACACAATTCCTGCAAAATTACCTCAAAAACTAGGAATTTATATGTTTTGGTTATGTATTTAATCTCAAGAAAAGACGAGTCATCAGTTAATTCTCAAATCTAGAGACTGGATTTGAAGGCTTAAATTTTGACAGTGAGCTGTGAATACTATTACTGATAATCTTAGCTTAAAAATTCCCGATTCTGAGACTAGGGTACGATTGGTCAAACGGATGGCGAACCTGTCCCTTTAAGATAGTCAGCTTCAAGGTGAGTTTCTTGATTTTCAATAATATCTTCTCCACCCTAGCCAGATGATAACTGGAATTGGGATATTACATGTCAAAATTTCAGTAAGGCCTCTTTAAGATTTATTACTCTTACCTGTGAAGATTCATATTCTAGTCTCTTTTTCTCTTCTTCTGTTTCTTTTAAAGCTTTCTTGGTTTTGACTAAATCTTGAGTTAATAATTCATTGGTATCTTCTACCTGTATTATCAAAATAGAATGAGATTTTATGAAAAAAGTAAGTAATTATTGAAAAAAATGTTAAACAACTTTTAGGGCTTATAATGATACTTGTATGGATAATTACATAGTTTAAAAGATTTATGGAATAACAGACAGATTTTCGTTTCGGTTTATTTTTTAGTTTTTACTTTTAGTATAGCCACTTCTGGAGTCTCGAACATTTGTTAAATTTGACCTTATATGCTTTAACCAATCAAATTTACGCCTTCTCCAGTGTTGGCATTTTGTGACACGATTATAAGGTGTATTTTCAGGAGCAAAAGACTAGTTTATCAAGTCCATTGAAGGCCTTTTCATTGGATGTTCCAAATTGACCGAGTTAAATTTGATCGGTTAAAGCAAACATCATCAGGTTAGGTCAAAAGGTTAATTTGACGAATGTTCAAGACTCCAATCCAATCCAAACTGTGAAGTGGGTATACCAAAAACAAAAACTAATAATAAAAAAAAACAAAAAGAAAGTTGGGTCTAATTGGGACAGATTCTGCTGTATACAGGTATTTCTTACATCAGATTCCCACAGCTATTTTGACTATTTGAGACTTCTCTGTTCATTATTAGAGGTATTTTTCCTTAAATCATTCTAAGTATTATCAGGCAAAGATAGATTTGAACATTTGAGGACGTTTCAAATCAAAAACAATTCATTTAATATTATTACTTAAACTCCTTAAAATGAAGCAGGACCATTTTCATATCAGTAAACTCAAGTGGTTGAGAACCGTTCTTCAGTTGTAATGTAAATGAAAAGCGTTCTTGGCACGGTTATCTATGGAACTCTTCTTGAAGAAGTTAAAATTAACCCTTGCAGTCACCGTGATGTAACTGAAGACATCTGGATGTAATTAACAATTTCATTGAATAATGAGAACATTCCGCGGGAAAAGGTGAAGGTAGCTTATGAGGGGATGTGGTTTCAAAAAGGTTCTCACAAAAATTCATTTGAGAACGGATAAATTTTGTAATGTAAAAGGGGTTAAACATAGACTACTTACATTGTCCAATTCACTACGTAATATTAGTTTACTCTCAACTAATTCATGAGCTAAATCATCATTCTCCTGTTCTAATCTCATATTAGCTTCTAATAATCTCTTATTCTCACGCTGAAAATATACACAAAATAAAAACTTAACCTTAAAATGTATTAGACAGTGCAAAATAAATTGAAAAATAAAATCACAAGCTTGAAATGTTTCAACAATTTAAAAAAAATCATCTCAACCTCATGTATGGTACAAATCCAAATCGAATAAATGGAAGTTGTAGGTTCTAATCTCAGTCAGTTCCAAGAGGTTTGTCCAGAGACAAGCTGGTAGAGAGGATCCTTTGTTGTTATCCATGTAAAATATAGTTATACATTTCTTTCTTTGATATCAAATGTTTTTGACTAAAAAATGTCTTTTTTAGTAGTGAATTTCTAAATAAGTAAAACAAGTCAAAAATCTTCAGCCACATATTTCAAAGTTTTGGATGGAATAGAAATTTAAAATAAGATAGAAATCTTCAACAAGTTGTTTTTCATAATCAAACATTTTATTAAGGCCATACAAAACAAATACATGTAGTCTGTTTTACAGGCCCAAAAATGCCAGATTGTAGCCTTAATATTAAATGTACATTAGATATGTGGAAATAAATAATAAATGCTTTCGCTCGCTCCAATTTATTCCAATTGAAAATCTAAAAAAGCGCTTATAAATAATAAATAATAAATTCGCCCTTTCGCCCCGATTTTTAAATAAAAAGGCCTGTAAAACGGACTATTTATTTTGTATGGCCTTATGTAAAATCCATGGAGATAAGGGAGATCTACAGTGAAATAAAACAAATTTTTTCTGATATTGACCAGATGTTTTTCTAACAGAACACAATATTCAAGTCAAGAAAATTCTTGTGACCTTTTAACACTAAAATAAAGACATACCAATTTAACAGAATTATATCCATGTTGTAGAAAATGTTTAGGGGAAAAGCAACAAGTCATAGTGAATAATGATAAACACTAAATATTTTTAAAAAATAAAACTGTCAAGTAGATGAATTGATGTCAATATTAAAGTAACAATAAGGAATAGGGAAGTTGTTATAATATCAACAAAACTATATTTGTTTTATGTTCATTAGATTAGATTAGTTCCACAGCAAAGTTAGTACACAGGAAATGTTATATGTTCTATAGTTAAAACATAGGCTTGCGGCAAGTCTCGCAAGCGAATACGCCCACCAGCAGCTTGATAAAGAGCTAAATGTGAGCTGTAAAACAAACTCTATATTGTAGCCTGTAGGGTGAGCACGAGCCAAAAAAGTGAAAAAAACGCGATCAAGTTTTATGCGATATCTCTCAAGAAAATCATCGAATCCTCACCAAATTCAATAGTGCACATCTTCATAATGATATTGACACACATACAAAAGATCAAAAGAATCTATAGAGAATTGTAGTCTGTAGAGTGAGCATGAGGTAAATGTCAAGGGACGGACTGACAGGGGCAACCACAATATACGCCCATACTTACTTGTGATAAAAAATAAAACTTCACATCAAATACCATCCTTTAATACCCAACGTTTCGTCAAAAAAGTTTTGACTTCATCAGGGGAAGAAAAAAACTTACGTGTGGGCGTATAGAAAATTGATGAGGTTATTCAAAGATGACCATCATTAGCCGTGAATTTGCTTCATTTTTTAATTGAATTTTTGCTCATTAAAGGGACAGATGAGCAATTTTTTTGACCAATCGAACCTAAGTGTCAGAGACCGGAATTCTTTAGCTAAGCCGATCAGTAATATTGTTCACAGTTCACTGTCGAAATTTGAGCCTTCAAATCCATGTGTGTTAAGAATTATCCGCCCTTGAATGTTAAAATGAGGACTTGTTATTTTAAGAAAAAAGACATATATAGAAATAGTGTGTAAAATTCCTAGTTTGAAGTATTTTTAAAAGGCATTGTGCGATTTTCTTGCATTTCTAATTTACTCAATACTAAAATCAATGCCCCAAAATGGCGCAACTGTCCCTTTTAAGGGGTCAAGGATTACCATAGAAATAAAACAAATGAATGTAACGATGAAAATGCAGCTAGAAATTTATGTGTCTAGCTTTAATTGTGCTGTGTGAATGATGACTAGGTGCAAATGTTATTGTCACATAAAAAAACAAAGCCTATTTGCGAAATTATTCATTTTGACCCCATGACTCATTCTTTGTGTATTGCCGAGAATGCAATATCATCATTATAATTCATTTCATTCTAATTCATAGAAATGATTTTTAAGTTAAATTTTTTGACAGAATACAATGTAACTAATACTAGAGAGAATGAAAGAAACAACTATATTTTACAAGGATAACAACTTAGGTTCACAGTTAAGGATCCTTTCTACCAGCTGGTCAAACCTCTTGGCATTGATCTTTCCCGGAATATTGGACTTTCACACGATGAAGGAGATTGGAACCCAAAGCTGCCATTTGCACGACGTAACCTAGCAAAAAGATGTCATGTAAACCAACGCTCTTGCCGACTGTGCTATAGAACCTCACAGAAAGTTCTTGTCTGTCTTCAGATTTTCATTAAGTAGAAATTTGATGCTAAAAACGGAACATTACCTCTATTCTCTCTCTAGGATCCTCTTCTTGTTCCCTCATTATATAATATTCCTTTTCATATTTCTTTAACTTACGTGCTGTTATCTACAGAAAAAAATTAAAAAATTAGATAACTAAATTATTATTACCAGAGACCTCCCAACTCAATTAGAAAGACGACACAATTTGTGCACTAAAAATCTCTCATTATGAAACATGCATGTACAGAAGTTAACCTCCAATACATGCATTGTAAGAACTGTATCGGGGACACTTACAGCATCAATTTGCACCATTCCAATTTTCAATCAGATGCCTGTGGTTCCTGTGATTCCACTTAAACTAAGTGTTTGATGACATCACTAATCACAGAAGGTCATCAAACACTAAGCTTTAGTATAATTGCAGATAAGAATATGTAACTGAACTATTCAAAATTTTAATACCTTAGTCAAGATGGCTGTTCTAATCAATTCTAATTCAGCATCTTCTGTCCTGAATTTTTTAGGTAGTTGAACACGGAAATACTTGAGTACACCTTCAAAATCTAGAGCTAGTAAATCTTTACGTGAACACTTGAGTAGAGCTAGAGCTACATTGAAAATAACATCCTTTCCCTTGAAATAAACATAAGAAAATTCAGTATCGTTTCAAAAGGGATCAATTTTTTTTCTTTCACCACATGTTAAGCAATGATTTCATGTTGCTGACAGCAGACTGTACAGAGCTCTGCCTCCGATCATAGTTTGGATCAAATGATTGGGCTGATCTTCCATTAATAGACACAAATGAGTATATAGACAGCAATAAATCCAAATTGGTGGTTGACAAGATATTTCTTTAAATTACTCATTTGTATGTGCGTTTTTCAAGAAAACTGGTTGGAAACTAAAGATGCATCTGCAAGACAGAGCGTCATCATCCAATCAGATTCATTTTCATTTCAAGTGCAAGCTCCGCATGTGATTATTGACATGGTGGAAAACAACCAACTGGAGATTGATGTATCTTCCTATGCCTGTAGTGAGCAACAAAAATCACCAACCAAGACTGTTCGTGTACCTGCACCTTTAGGGTACTATAGTAGCAGTCAAATTCAAACCTGATGTGATCTAATGATTACTATATACTAACACAAAGCTTCATAAAATATGGCTGAAGAGTAAAATGTGTAGTTAATACTAAGAAATATGGTAGACTGACAGACAGACATATATTGATATATATTAACTTACCTCACTGAGATACAAGTCCAGTATATGAAACACAACATTTAAAGGGAATTTGGCTGTAAACAGTGTCAGGAACCATTGTGAAGCAAACATGTGTATTTCTAAGGACATCTCAGCAAAATGAAAGAATAAGTCTGGTATTTGATCCTGAAAAAAGGATTAATCCATACTTGGAAAGAGAACATGTAGATACAAAAATGGTTTCATGGGCATTTACATAGCTTCCATTAATTGACTATATTCACCTAAAACGGGGGTTTTTAACCTTTTCCCTTTCAAGGTCCCTGATCAATCGTATAACACCCCTTCTCCCTATAATAATTTACCCTCTTCCTAGTATAAATCCATACTATTACCTCTCTTCCCTATAAATCCATACTATTTCCCCTTCTCCCTATAATTCCTTACTATTACCTCTCTTCCCTCTATAAATCCATACCATTCCCCCTTCTCCCTGTAATTCCTTACTATTACTCCTCTTCCCTCTATAAATCCATACTATTACCGGTCTTCCCCTATAATTCCTTACTATTACCCCTCTTCCCTCTATAAATCCATACTATTCCCCCTTCTCCCTGTAATTCCTTACTATTACCCCTCTTCCCTCTATAAATCCATACTATTCCCCCTTCTCCCTGTAATTCCTTACTATTACCTCTCTTCCCCTATAATTCCTTACTATTACTCCTCTTCTCCCTATAATTCCTTACTATTACCTCTCTTCCCTATAATTCCTTACTATTACCTCTCTTCCCTATAATTCCTTACTATTACTCCTCTTCTCCCTATAATTCCTTACTATTACCTCTCTCCCCTATAAATCCTTACTATTACCTCTC